AGAAATGATTTTTTTAAAGAATATAATTACAAATTATGTCACGAACCCTCCAAAATAAATGAAAACAATATCCCAAAAATGATTAATCCTACCAAATTATCCCATTATAATTACAAATAATATACATGTGCAAAAACCCACATTAGAAACATATATATTTGTAAAAAAGAGAAATAATCATAACTAAATTGAAGAAAAATATGGCTTACCTAAGTTTGTGAAATGTGCTTGACTTAATAGGAGGATGTTTTTTGAACCCAGGTTTATGCTTTTGACTCAATTCATTGAAGTAAAGATGAGCAGAAGGAGCTTGCTTGAGAGTAACAATGTAAATTCCAGAAACTTCATCTGGGTCATTCTGACATACAGCAACACCCACTAAAAGTAGCAAGAGTAAATGCAAGAAATTAAGCTTAATTCTCTCCATTTTTGCAAGGAACAAAAAACCCAGAAAAAAAGATGAGATCTTTGTTGAAATTTCACATGAAACAGAGCTAAAAATCAAAACACGGAAAAATTAATCCCAGGAAGTGCCCTCCAATTTATTTTTAAGGGGTTAAACCGTTAAATACAGAAAAATGAAGGAACTTTTATTGAAAACGGGAAGAGTGTGAAGTGATTTTATGGAAGATTGGGAAAAGGGGAAGAATTAAATTAAGGGAATAGGATTTAGGAGAGAGAAAAGAGTGAGTTGAAAAGCAGCAATTTCCATTAATAAGTGCACAGTGACCAGTGAAGCAAAATAAAAGGGAAGAAGAGAGGAGAGAAAGAGAGAAGGTTGCTGTGTGGGGCGGTTGTTTAAATTGTTTATGAAGTGATGCGCCAGATAGAGAGCCAGAAATCCTCCATTTTCTTCTTGTACTCTTGTTTGTAGTCACTCTTCACACCGCCCAAAAAGCTTGACCATTATTAGTATAGTGGCAATAACATAATTTACATTACATCTATCTTTATGTGTTACATTGTCCTAAATTCCTTTTGGCATTTTTCATACACTAGGCTAGGTAGGTGGTAATGTGGTATAAGACATATAACTCAGAATTCCTTTATAGCATATATGGGAGTAACGAGACATGTCGTATATAAAAGTAGTAGCGAATGACTAGTCATCTCAAATTTTATAAAAGTTGAATTGAATTTACCGTTGTTATCATGACACTGATCGTGTTGTAAATTGGCTCCCAAACTATGGAGTTGAGCCGAATCAGAGGAAAAAAAAAAGTTGGCTAGTCTTAAAGGGGCTTTGTGTTGTTTTATTGGAGGATTTTAGTGAAGTGACATTAGATAGAAAAGTCCTAGCTGTTGTCTGTCGCAACTTAGCTAATACGAAGGACATGCATTTAGCTTAGTTTGTACTATGTAACTGTTGGTTTTGATGTATGTGTATTATTTTGCTTATTAAGTTATTATTTCGATTTAACTAGTATATTACTTTAATAATTCGAGTTTGAGTTAAATAAAGGTAGTGAATTTTGTATAAATACAAGTATAGCCTGTGAGCAGTACTCAGCCTCACATGTAAGGTCTCTGCCCCTGGTCTAGCTAGCTCTAATACGATAATACCCCATGTGAAATACGAGCTTGAATCGCACCCGTTAAACCGTCACCAAGAGAGAGTCAACTTCACAAGTACAATGAAGTTTTATCCCAAAACCATGTGACAATATGAGAAGTTGTCCTTAGCCTAATTTGTTTAACTGTGTCTTCTGTTATTAATGTGAGACATTATATATGTTTTTAGGGAAAATCACACGACAACATCATCGCATTATCTCTAATCTCTAATTGCATTAAATTTGTGACCAAGCTAAGATTGTCTTGTGTTATAACTTATACGCCTTATACTCCATGGTCTTGCAGACAATATAAAGTCAAACATACATGCTAGCCGTTGATAAACGAAAGAGAAAGCGGGTCCCAAGTGTCAAGGTTAAGGCTAAGAAATTGAGGTTGAGGTTAAAGCATCAAGCATGCATCTTAGCTTATTCTTCTCCAGATCTAATCTCTCTTGAGTCTTGACTTCATTTCTTTAGTGTCACTTTCAGTATACTACTTTAAGTGCCCTTTTTATTTTTTAATCTTTTCCTGTTTTGTTAATTTCCTAATTTTTACAGTCTTTATTTTTCTGGGGTTTACTGAGCACTATTATCTGCATCTGAATCTGTCTTCAAAAGAGTGTAATTTTAATCCCAGCAAAAATTTGTGGTCACAGCTTGTAAGTGAAGCCAGCCAGTCAGCCCACAATAGGTTGAGCCGTTTTAATGCAATATTACGTCATGTCCTCTTTTCTCAGTACTAATCACTTTTTTCTTTTCATTTTATGCATGTTATTCCTACTAACATTTTCATGTACTTTATGAAAGACATTGGTGTGTTAAGTCAATCTTTTAACACTAGGGACAGTAGGGAGTACTTGTACTAGTGTTGTTGTACAAGTGAAGCAACAAGGCCAAGAGCTTAACCAACTACGGAGTACTTTATTTAACTTGATCGGAATTGATGTGATTCGAACAAAGGACATGTGCTAGTAATACCTTCAAACAATGTGTATTGTACAAGTACAACTAATTGAACAAGTGCTAGCAAGACCTTAGGATAATATTTATTGTACAACTATCTGTTTGGTGAAATGGAAATTACGTGGACTCGTTTTGGAATACCTCATGTTCGAGATTCATCATGTCTTGATAAAACTCACCTAGCTGACCTATGTTTAAGAAAAAGGCCAGGTCAAAGCTTATGTATGTAATAAACATTAGTGACTTAATCACAATTGTTCCTTTAAATAGTTGCTAGAAGATTTGGTTATTATGCTTGATTTAGTGTTTTTTACGTGTCAAAACCCATATAAATTAAATTTCGTATAATAAAACGTTTGTTTATGAACATGAATCGATAAAATGAACAAAATCGTTCACAATGACGTACTGTAACCTCCTAATTAAACAAAACAAGTTTGAACATATGTTTGAGCTCTGTAAAAGTTCAAGCTCACCTAAGTTAATTACTTAGTTTACCGTTTACATGAACATCACTCAATTAGCAACTCAACTCTGCTTATTACCAAGTAATAATAACAACCAAATATGAAGACCAATTAGCAATAAACAAAAAAACACACGGGTAATATTCTTTTTGGTGTTCCACCCTGTTCACCCTTTAGGCTATTTCGGATTCGGGGCTCAATTCTGGTTGGTTAGGTTTCAATCCCCTCCCAATTATTATTGTAGGGATCGAACACGCGATTTTTTCTACCAAGTGCAGCCCCATTCACCACTGCATTAACAATCAATTGGTAAAACACACGGGTAATATAAGAGGGATTGAGTTGTTGGTTTCTTAATTAGTAACTTTATGGCTTATGCTACATTCCAAAAAGGATTGAGACCAAAAAAAAAAAAAAAAAAAAAAAAAAAAAAAAGCCAATGTGTTGTACAGCATTGGTATGTATGTTACATAGTAAAGAGAATATATGGATTGATCATGAATAATCACAACTTACATACTTAGTAAAAAAAGGGGGGGGGGGGGGGGGGGAAGGATGCAAAGTAAAAAAGAAAAAGGTAGCAAATGATAATGTCGCTAATGACCCCTCCATTAATAGCATAACTTTCCCGCTCTTATTCCGGTGCCAATCATAAAACTTGACTTTTTCTTTCATGTGCTATCACTTGAAGATCTTGTGTTTTGCCGCCTTTTTGGTTCCTCTTTTTAACGGCCATATGCCTATTTTAGTGGGGTAAAATTTTATGTACATTTGTTATTCATTTTTGTGATGTTACCCTACTCGTGCAAGCTTATATGATTGTGCATCAAGGGAAAGATTAATCTTGGCCTACTTGGGGTAATTTGTTCTGCTTAGTGCTTTGTTTAACTATGAAAAAGTTGCCCAAGATGTTACTTACACAATGACACGATGCCACGTATGAAACTAATTTGACCTAGTATTGTGAGTTTCAATCTTAAAGTTAAGAATTGGTGATTTTTTGGCCTAACACTTTTATCGCTTTTAATTCGGGTTAAGTTGACCTGTTTGAAAATATCAATTTGATATAGCCTTTTCAAGTATTGAAATTGTAAAAGTTAATGCTATAAAGTTTGTAAAGGGGAAATGGCAACGGCCTCATTCATACTTTTCTCGTTCATTTTCCTGGGCCCCACAATTTGGCCCACAAGCCTAAGTCTGGCAAGCTAATAACCCAAACACACTTAAGCCCAGCCAAAATAACAGGCCAGGCTTAGACCGGAAACTTTCCAAATACTCTGTATTTGTTACCGGCCAGAATCCCATTATTTCCAAAAGATGATGATCATGTTGAATTTAGTGGTGAAATTGCAAATTCTTGGGAAAGTGTCTACTGTTATAGATCTTAAGACTTTTACATTATCTAGATTTCAAGAATAGATGGCACAATGGTACGTTAATGTAGTAGGTAAATTGGTCAAAGATGCATATAATCTAATTGTGCATATTTTCAATTGTTTCCCTTTTTTTTTTATTATCTATCACCAAGACGTACACCGCAAGACTTTCATTATCCTATTATGCACGAGACTACAAGAGTGTACACTATACATGTCTTGAGGAGTTGAGGCACCCAAGTGACCCAAGCACCCAACCCTCAAATGTATGATAACTTGATAAGTGGCCAAGTGGGTATCTTTTTATCACCAATTTGATTAACTGACCTACCCAATATTTTTTTATAAATCTTCATTCTCAATCTCATATCAAGTATAATATATATTTATACAATAAAGTACTCAAATTTAATACAATTATGAATTTCCCATTTAATAATAACCAAACATTTCTTATCACAATTAATTATATTAGGTATAATTAATTACTCAGTATGCAATTGGGTAATCAATGAATTAGGTTTAATTAATTCTTTTTTTGGCGTATCCAAAAGTAATTTTTGTTTGTAAGGATATTTTAAATTTTGTAAAAATGATGGACAAAAATAATTCATTCAATATCCTGAGTGCATACAAGAATTCGAAAAGGTCTTCTCTTTGAACATTTAGTGTGTAATTTACTAAAATAATTTACAATTACAAAATTGATTATGTCAAAAAATCATCCTTCAAAAAAAATTTCTCAAATTAAAAACTTTCTTCTCCTCAAATTTCTAGTAGAAGCCTTAGAAACCAAGAAACCCACACCCAAACAAACAACCCAAATACCCACATCAACAGCCCATCTAACCCCTTCCATTTCCTCCTCAACCATCCGATCAAACTCAACCTCATCTCCACCGTCCGATTCACTCTCAGCCTCATCACAACAACAACACACCTCACCTGATCCCTCCTCTTCATCCTCCACCACATCACATTCTCTCTCCTCCGGAATCTCATCCAACGCCACCTCAAACTTCCGGCAATTCCTCCTCCTCCGCCGCCGCTTCGCCACCGCTTTCTCTCTCATCAAACCGCCATTCTCCGATACTACGAACACATCCGCTTCTCTCACGCCGAATTCTCTCTCCTCCATAAGCTTGCACTCCATTTTGAAATCGCCGTCGTCGTACTGCCTGAAACCTCCGTGAAGGAGGCGGTTTCCGGCGAGGTGAACCTCGAAAACGACTCCGTCGCAGGCGCGGATTCGGTCTTTGGAGGTGAAGATGAGGTCGGAGTTAAGGACGCGGTGGAGTGTGATGAATGCCGGAGAATCTGGCCGAATTTTTGAGCCGTTGATTTCGAGGAGACCGCCGTTTATCCGAGGGAGGAAAACGAGCGTCAATGATTCCGGGAGGAGAGACACGGCGGCGGTGGCGGAGGTGAGAGAAAGTTGGAGGGAGATAGCTTTCAACCGAAGAAAGCGATCCTGACGGTGGTAGTAATCCGTGGTACGACACATTTCGTATCGTGTTATTTACTGTAAGACCGTCCTATACAAGAAATTGTTTCGGATTTTGAAAAAGGAAGAATAATTAGGGAAATGAATGAGTTGAACGATGTAAAAATGGTCAAAGTGTATGGTGTGTATAAATAATGCGAAAATGTGGGTGGTATTTTAGGTAGAATTTAGGGAGCCTTTGGTTTTGGAGGGATTCAATGGGAGGAGAAGCACACGGTTTCGGAGAAATAAATGATAAAAAGGCGGGCAAATGATACTTTGTGAAATGCTCAACCTCATAATAAATTGATTTTAAAATCTTATTTATATGAATTTAATAATTGGTGTAGAGTATGTTTCTAAAATTAAATAATGATAAAAATAATTGAGAGCTAGGTTGGTGATAGCATGAATTGCAATGCTTACACCTATTTGCAAAAGGATGGTAGTCATGCTAGTATTTGTTACAAGGCTTACAACTCATGTCATTGTGTGTCATGGATTGTGTGAGTTTTGGACATTTTCGTCTTGTCTTCCATGCATATTATTGATTTTTATTACACTTGTCAAAACGATTGCTCGGGTGGTTTTGATTTCGTGCTAGATTCGTTTTGGTTTGGGATCAATTATTCTTGATTATTATGATACAAACTGTTCGTTTTATGGGCTAGTTGGTCGGGTCAATGACACTTATATTTTTCAAAATTGAAAATAAAACTGTAATAGTCAAATGCATAAATATAGTGTCAAATTTGGTTAAATCTTCTTAAAATGAATTTATTACATATTCAAGTAATGATAATGACGTTGGATAATTAGGCATGACTGCATGAGAGAATTATAAAATTTTTGCCTCAATTAAATTTTGTTACAATGTATATTGGTGAGAGATTTTAATTTTTGTAATAATGATAATTTATCACTAAAATGGTCAATTTGTTTCGATTCAAGTCAAGTATGACTCTTAAATTTGGTTTTTCTAGCTATTTTTAGATTTCGAGTTCAAATTTTGTGCTCAAAACTCAACATTATCGGGACGGCGTTTTAGACAGTCTAAATTGGAGTCAAATTTAAACAGGTCTAATATTATCCTCAATTGCCATACAACAACCATTACCTAGATTTTTTTTTTTTTTTTTTTAAAACCATCTTTTTCTAATTGCAAATAAAATTATTGGTCATGTACTCATGTTTACCCGTAGTGCTCTTAGGTAAAACAAAGGTTACATTACAAAGAAGAAGAGAATATAGTCTTACACTCTTACATGAAAGAGCTTCTAGCTATGAAGTACATAAGCACTTATGAAGTACGTTGTGGTTAATCGAATATTGGATCTATAAAGACGAAAAATGGATCTTTATACTGACTAGTATAGTACTATAGTTGGACAAATTAGATAATGTGCCGATAGGATTTTGGCCCATGTCGCCTCGTCCGTGGGCTTATAACAACCTCAGAATTGAAGGCACATCAATTGCTCAATTGCTGTGGCAATATTTAGTGATGTACTCACCAAGTACTAGACTTGACACTTAGTAGACTACATGTTTATGTAACAGACATATTGATAGTGTAATTTTTTTATTTTTTTTTAGTGTAATTTGACCAATGATCGATATGATCATGTGACAACTAAACTAGGTCGGTGATAAAAATATTTTGATAAACAAAAAATTTTAGAGTATTACTTACGTGTAGTTTGGAAACGACTATGTTTTAGTTTGTCTGCTTCTCCAAAGTGTTGATCAATATAAGATCATTTATCACCTGGTCCAAAATGGATAACTAATATGCCTTTTATTTGAATCGACTGCATGTATTATATGGTATAGGACTATAGGTCATGGAGAGAATAACAAAAGAAGAGGGTCATATTCATGATGGAATCACCTTGGCATCCTAGCTTGATGTGTTTACTATCCTCGTTGCAAACTCCCTCATATTCATGTTTTCATCTTGTTTTCTATATTTCTTTTCTATCTTCGATTTTTTTTTTGTTAAAAAAGACTTTTAAGTGTCTCTAAAAGTCTCTATTTTGTATAAAGGTAAAGTTGCGTACATCTAATGCCACTACAAGAAAACACGTTATTTTCGATGGATAGCTTCCGACGACCATGTAAAAACTTTGAAAAACACATAATTATGGTTTTAAAAGTTGTCGGAAATTTTCGACAGCCATAAACAAATTCCAATGGCTAAAGTCATAGGTAGAGGTGGCCAGTGGGCCGGGTTGGACCCAGCCCACCCTAACTCGCACGGCTGGTGGGTCACGTGGGTTCGACCCGGTTTCAATCCGGCACAGCCCGGCACAGCTCGGATTTAATCCGGGTTGTGTCGTGGGTCCAAAATTTTCGACACAACCCATTTCAACCCAGCTCAGTTTAACCCGTTTGATTCGACCCAAATCGCACAACCCGTTTTGACTCATTTAATTCGACACACCTAGCCCGTGAACCCACCTAACCCGACCCACCTGGCACAACCCAGCCCGCACGGCCCACCCGCACGAATGACCCACCCAACCCGCACGAGCCAACCCACCTAACCCGCACGCATGACCCACCCAACCCGCACGCATGACCCACCCAACCCGCACGGCCGGCACAACCCGCACAACCCGCACGGCCCGCACAGCCCGCACAATTCGCACGACCCGCACGGCCCGCACGGCCTAACATCCATTTTTTAAAAAAAACGGCTAGTTTTTTGTATCTAACGGCTAGTTTTTTGTATCTAACGGCTAGTTTTTTAAGTGTATGATCATCCATTCTATTTTTCCTATAAATACCAATTCCATTTCACTCAAATTTCCACACAAATTCAAGCTTTCTTTCTCTCTTACTTAAAAATTCTTATTGTTCTCAAATTCTCAAGTGTTATATAGAGTTATATTTTTGTTAAAAAAAATCTCCTTAATATTATTATTAGTATTCTTAAGATTCTAAAAAAAAAAAGTTCTTCTCCATATTATAATTAGTAATCATACAAAAAAAAATGAGCTCAAGAGGAGGAATGGGAAGGAGTCAAAGTGGTGGTCGAAGTGGTAGCCAAAGGAGTGGTGGTGCAAATTTTTCGTATGAAATTAATACGGAAAATTTAAACCAATTTGTCAATGAATATGGAGATTATGGTTTAGGAGATAGGCAAAATATTCAAACGTCTCCACCACAACATTTCTCCCACGAGTCCCACCAATCATCAAGTTCAACTATGCCACCTCCATCGCAACCAACATCTCAACCTTCATCTCAAGGTAATTTCTAATTAAATTTTTATTGTTATGAATATTTAAAAAAACTATTATTAATGATTATAAAGTTAGTTTAGTTTCCAATTTTCTATGATTTACAATTAGTTAATTACCATGAAAAATGCGTTTAAATAAGTATAATTAAAATATTTAAAATTTAAAAGCTTATTTTCATGAATAGCATTTAAAAATTAATTTTAATAATTTGATTTATGAAAGGTGGTGGCGGTGAAAGTAGAGGTCGAGCACATTTTTCTTGGGTGTGGAAACATTTTGAACGAGTTGAGGTCACACCCCCGGGATGGCAACCTGGTCAACCAAAGAGGTTCACGTGTACATGCCTAGTTTGCAAGGCGCTAGGTGCAAATGTCAAGTCATATAATTGGAAAACGGGAGATGGAACCGGAACCTTGAGTCGGCATTTGCAAAATAAACACGACTTGTTCGAAAATGGCCCCCGTCCTTCGGGGGGTGGCGTCCAAACACAATTGGGTGGATACATGAACCAACCCGGCGGAGGTACACCTTTCATTTATAATAAAGATAGAATGATTGATGAAATGAGTACTTTAGTTATTGCTAATGAATACCCTTTTAGTTACGGTGAAAATGCAAACGTTGAGCATTTTAATAAAGTTGCATTACAACCTGCATTTACTCGTGTCCCCCGAAATACCCTAAGACGTTATACACAAACTTCTTATTATAAGTATAGGAGTGGTTTGATTGAATTATTTCGTACTTTTGATGGTCGTGTTAGTTTTACAAGTGATACATGGACTTCTAGTTTTGGCGAACCTTTTCTTTGCATTACTGCTCATTGGGTGGATGATGATTGGTTTATTCAAAAACGTATACTATGTTTTCAAGCTATGGAAGAAAGGCATACCGGTTTTAACATCAAAGTTCGTATTTTGGATTGTTTAAAAGAATTTCACTTGAATAATAAAGTTTTTTCTTTGTCTCTTGATAATGCAACTGCAAACACAAAGTGTATTGACTATTTGAAAAATGACTCCGAGTTGAATTTGTTGTTGGGTGGTAGTCTCTTGCATGTTAGATGTTGTGCTCATATTTTGAATTTGTCTGTTCAAGAGGGTCTCGCTGAGTTGCAACCATTGCTAAACCCAATTAGAACAGTTATAAAATGGATTAGGATTACTCAGTCAGTTAGAAGAAAGTACATAGCTATGTGTAAAGAGAGAGGTCTTAAGAAAAGACAATGGTCTATTGATACCCCTACCCGTTGGAATTCTACTTTCAAGTTGTTGAGTGATGCTATAAAGTATCGTGATATTTTGACCCAACTTTACAATGAGACTCGTGTTGATCCTACTGAGTTAATAACCGAAAGTCATTGGACTAATGCTTCTTTTGTTCGTGATGTTTTAAATGCTTTTGATAGTGCAACTCATATTTTCTCTTATATTTATGAGCCTAACGTTCATTTAGTCATAATTGAGTGTGTTAAAGTTGTTCACACCATCGAAGAGCATATGAAGATTGATGGACTTCGTCCCGTTCTTGATAGCATGAAACGTAAGTGGCATACTTATTTTAGTGAATTTCCAATCATTTATGGAATTGCTGCTATTCTTGACCCCGGTGTCAAAGCTGAAGGTTTGGAAAATCTTTTAGAATTTTATTATACAAGTTTAAGTATCGATTATGATGTTAGTGAATATATTAACAAATGCAAATCTGTTTTGGGAGACCTTTATGATCATTATGCATCTATTTATGGTTTTGATTTGGCAACACCAACTACTACTAGCACTTCCGATTCTAGATTTGGTTTTCTTGATAAAGTTATGAAAAAAAAACACAAAGCATCTACATCATTCTCATCATCATCTTCTTCAACACTTGCTATTAATGATTATTTGTCATATCAACATGAGACCAACAACAACTTTCAAATTATAAAATGGTGGCAAGAACATAAAAAAAGTTTTCCTATATTGGCGAGAATTGCAAAAGATATACTTGCAGTTCCCGCTTCATCTGTTGCTTCCGAGTCTGCTTTTAGTGCAGGTAGAAGAGTGTTAGATGAAAAAAGATCTCGCTTAACTCCGGAAAGCATTCAAATTTGTGTTTGTAAGAAAGATTGGGATCAAGCTGAAAGAAGAACTCAAGGTTTAAAGGAAGACGAAGACGATGAAGATGATCCTGTGATGATATTGGAGTCGTCAACAGATGATGCAGCTTCCGGGGATGATGATGCAACAAACATGGGTGGCTAGAAAAGTCTAAATCAGGTACGCTAAGAACTACGTGGGCTTTGATTCTTTCGGGATACGTAGGCAACTTATTTTTCGAAAATTACAATTTAATTGCAAAATTAAATTTTAGTTTTCTAAAGATAGGTCCAAGCCCCCCCCCCCAAATTTCAAAAGAAGTACAATATAAGAACTACGCTGGCTTTGATTCCTTATTTTATAATATAAGGATACGTAGGCATCTTAATTAAGAGCAAGCCATCAAATTGTTAATTTTGTAAAAATTAAAACACCACACAACCCACCCGACCCTAACCCACGAACCCACCCGACCCTAACCCACAAACCCACCCGACCCTAACCCACCTAACCCACAAACCCACCCGACCCTAACCCACTAACCCACCCTTCGACCCACCCTAACTCACTAACCCACCTTGACCCGTCTAACCCACGAACCTAGCTCGACCCACCCATGACCCGTCTAACCCACAAACCCAGCTCGACCCACCCACGATCCGTCTAACCCACAAACCCAGCTCGACCCACCCACGACTCGTCTAACCCACGAACCTAACCCTGGTGTGTCCAACTTCTCCGACCCAACCCACGACCTGGCCCACCCTACCCTACGTGTGTCGTGCCGTGTGTCATGAAACCCCAACCCGCGACCCACCTAACCCTAACCCAGCTCGCACGACTCGCACGGTGGACACCTCTAGTCATAGGAAATTTCCGACTGCCCTTTAAACCAACGGATGGAAAATTTTCCGATGACCTTTAAAACCGTCGGAAAAAGTGTTTTCCGATGGCTTTTTCATCGGAAAAGTGTATATTTCTGACAAGGGTATTTCCGACAACACATACATTTCCAACAAAAAATCGTCGGAAAATTTACACTATATCCACCAATGACGATTGATAAGACTTCAAGATATTCCCCATGTTAAAATCTCACAAGCATCTTCTCTTATACAACATTATCCATAAGTACACCTCAGTCCATTTTTTTGTGCACTAAAGTAACTTTGGATCTTAGACTGCAAGAATTGGTTCCTCAAGTTTTGGCACCGCCTTGCAAGTGGCTATGTGTTTGTCATATTTAGATTCTAACAATTATTTTTGATGAAATATCTTATGTTCCTTCAAAAATCGATTATTATTATTATCCAAACTACATATTTTTTAGCTCATGAACTTCTATTACACTTGCAGAGTGTCGAATTAGATAGTAAACATGATTAAGAATATGCCCCTCTTGATATAATTCTGCTCATGATAAAAATATCAGAATTCAGCGCCTTACTGCCTGAGTTGTCTTGGAAGCGTCTCTAGAATATAGATCATGGACATGATCATATGGAAAGAGTAAGGAAGCATATAAAGATATTATTTGGAGAATAATATATTTAGGATTATTTATGTTAAGATATTATTTAGAATATATATCTTTGGAAATTATGGTTATGCTAGTATATCTTTTAGGATGATTGTTTCCTATGTTATGAGTGTAGATTTTGTATAAATAATCTACATATTGATGAATAATAAGTAAGCCATTCATTATCTCTTTTACCCCAAATTCATCAGAATTCGACGTAGAACTCTGCTTGATAGACTGAATAAAGAACAATAAGATTGCATTGCGAAGCATTATGCAAGAGGTAACATACATTAAAGAGTTAGAACACTACCCATGTACTACACAAGAGAAATATAAGTGAAAAACTATTGGACTGGCATAACTGCATAACTCTAGCTAGATGGATAGATGAAGTTGATCATCAGAGAAAAGTGAGTGAAGATTTTCCTAAGAGCAAAGACAATTAATTATCTGAAGTACGACTTAGATTAATTCTAAGCTGCTATTTCTTTCAGAGTTGATTCTCTCAAGCTTAATGTTAATGATTCGAGCCAAAATGATATTTTGGGGTACAAGCACAAAACGAATTTGTATTCGCAAGTCTCTGGTTGGTTATGCTACTGCTGTGTCTGGTCAGCCTAAAACAAAGAATTTCTTTTACATATCCACCTAGTTTATCCATTTTCTGGGAAATGATAAAAAGAAAGATTTCTTTGGCTACAACAGAAAAATTCCTCTCGCGGACAGAAGAGATGTAGTTTGCAGCCTTCATGTTAACATTTTCATCATCTACTGTGCTGAAGTAGCTTTCAAACTCGTTAACAGACTTGTAGTTGTACTCTGGTACAAAGAGCGAAACCTTTTGTCTAGGCTGAGGATTAAAGTCTTGATGATCGACAAGATAAGTGATCGAGGGAACAGAAGCAGATGACAGGTTTGGCCTCATTCTGCTGCTATACTGAAGATTCGAAGAAGATTTTGAAGCCCGAGTGAAGGAAAGCAACTTCCCCTTGATGAAGCCTTTACGATTGTGTTGCGAATCCATCTTTATCTGGTTTATCTCTAGCTTATGTTTAATGTTTGATGGGATATGGTGCGTTCCCCCTAGCTTTATATGGACTATGGAAAATGCTCTATTTATAATGGCTTCATGCACCTTTTACTCGTAGAAAGTTGCCAACTTTATCAACCGCGAACCAAAATTTTCAAGAATATTGTATAACCTATTGGATAAGAGTCGGTTTAAACACGAAACTGTTTTTAACTAGTTTTTGTTGATAAGAAAAGAGTCCGTCTAATTGCTTAACAATTAGGCAACTAAATAGTTTATAGTGTCCTTGACTCTAGTAGTCTTTTTTTTTTTTAAGGGAAAACTCTAGTAGTCTAGTCTAACCACAATTGGTTTATCAAGGGTATATAAGACATTTTATCCCCTAGACAGTACACAAACACAAAATAATTGTCAACATGCAGCCTTTCTTAATAAATTTTTACACTAAAAACATCTTTCAGTTGTCTTGTTCTCCAGATTTCTGATGCTTCATGAATCTTAAAAGATACATTACATGTTCATGTCACTATCTACAAAGTTATTTCCAGGTAATGCAGAACTAAATTATGAGTTATTGTATTGTAATATATTCTTAATTATGCAGTTATGCTGTGGCTTATTTCATACGAAGTACAGAGTACTAAGTTTTGTCAACGGAATAATAAAGGCGCTATTAATATATTATTAAGTATAACATCACGTTGTCTATAATAATCAGTTTCTTAAATGGAATTAATGAATTATGTGACAATCATACACGGAGTAACTTAATATGTTTCCATTGACTCACACGATGACATGTAACGTTACACTATTAGTACAGTTATGATGTATGATTAGCTTCTTCGTCAAAAGGATCAGTACCATATCTTTTTCATCACTAAATTCTTTTAAAACCAGAAAACGACTTCCATGGATAAGATCAAGAGTACGCGTGTAAATTAAAGCAACGACATACTGCAGCCTCATATACTCGTATTCCATAATCCATACTTCCCTTCTCTGATAAGCTAAGGCTACGTATGTTGTACGTGTAACGGTGTAAGTGACTAGAGATAGTATACATACAACTCTTGCATTACTTTTGTTTCAGCTGGCTAGTTTGATTTGCTTTCTGAAAACATTAAAACTTGAGATTCAGAGCAAGTAAAGTCCTTTCACATACTATGGACCACTTACAGGCATCTTTATAATGGTATCAGTGTTTGATCCTCTAAAGATGCCACAGTCTGTGGCTCTTCAGTATTCTTTTTTCTCTTTTCATCTCTTTAATAATTGAGCATCCTCTTCGTTCTTTCATGGCAATTGAGGAGCGAGGGCAGAGCACTGTTTCGATGCTGATAAAGATATATGAAAATATTGATCATATCTCTAAAATGATCTTCTGCCAATTTCTTCAGAATCTGTATAATCTGTGCTGCAGTATTCTGATCCGATTTTATACATGCTCCTCTTAGAATCTACTCTTATTACTACCATAAACATTGTTATTGCTGTGAGATTTTTTCTGATATTCAAACCAAAAAGGCTCAGCTATCTGAATGTCTGTATTACTTGACTCAAGGTGCTTGTGTCAGACTCTCAATGTATGTGTCCAAGTGTCATGCTCGGTAATTTGTGAAAAATTTCCTTTATTTGATCCAATAGGAAGTGACATGGCCTAGTCTATACCTATGTCGGAGTGTTGAGGATCCAACAAGCGAGTAACATACTAAAATAAGGGCAAGAAATACTTTTATTAGCTTTCCCGGCAGAAACTATAGCTAAGGACAAACTAACCTGATGATACATTAATGCAAATAATCATAAAACTTTGTTTCCAACATGTCTAAGGACTAAAGCCACAGTAGAGAAAGATTACCAGACATGAGACAAGCTCTCTCATAAAGAATCAAGTGAAATCGAGAAGATGAAGTTAGTTCATATCCTCTTATAGCACAGGATCTTGATATAAATAATCATAGAAAACATTCATGATTATAGAATAGTGAGTATTTATAGACTTAACTACTCCCAACCAAATGGGAAAATCCTAGTGTTTTCGCGAAACCCTGCATGGCCTGTGTGGAAACCTCCAATGTTTGGAGCATTAGTATTAGAACTGCTAGAGAGTGAAGCTGAACTCTCAATATCGTCCAAACCCTGAGAGCAAGGAAGTTGATAGCTGTTATTTAGATGCAAAGAAGTACTGCTACCTTGAGCTGTTGCTGAACTCATAACCGTTGGTTGCATAACAGGTCCCACACGGATATCTGACGATTGGGATGAATACCTTGACAGAAGAGAGAGAGCACATCCTGAGTTATCAGGTGAAACCCTTAGGCCGCCTCTCCTACTTCCGGTTGGAGCAACGTCATTCAGAAGTGGCTGATATATTGTTTCTTGATTATTTTGGAAGTACAAATCAGGCTGAGACATTGTAGGCCAATTTACAGTATGCATTTGGGGGCAGGAATACTGCAGCATTCCATCTGCTGCATTTTGAATTTATACGAAGTCTTAATTATCATAATGAAGTCCTAAGATAATATTTTATTAATGAAATTTAGCTGAGAATTGATCAGGTCACCTGTTTGAGATGACAAAACGCCACCAGCAGAATCAGGCATGTTAAAAGTTTCAGGCTGTCTTTTCCTCCTACGGCGATTATGTCCATCCAAGCGTTTTCTGCAGCTTCTCTTTACCTCATCAAACTTTTCCAGGGAATGAAACCTGAGGGGTTAAAGTGCATACATTGAGAAGGAAAAATAAAAAATAAAATAAAAAAACACAGGAAATGCAGCAGAATCAATGCAGCACAAAAGTACTCATTATTAATCTATTTCCACTATGAATTGATTTACTAATTAAGGGGCAAAACTTATCCATGAATTGTATAATTTTGTTGAAGGATGAACGTGATACTTTATGGAACTTATTTAACTGCACATAGATTGTATAAATGCACCTCGGATGCTTGCCTTACTTATTTCATTAGACAGCGACAAACTTCGCAGGATAAAAAATTAAGCCTAAAGCTATCCGAAGAGAAGTATATATATCTACACCAATAAGTTATGGTTTCTTATCAGCTCAATGCAGAAATAGGGCTAGCTAACAGACAAGGGGATGCCTTAAACGAGGTCAATGGTTTATCATTAGTACTAAGATAATAATTTCATCTAGTTAGGCCTGCTCAGAAGGGAGCTAAGTTCACTAAACATTCAAGCTTCAAAACAAAAACTTCTAATTTCACACTAACTTTGACTTTTATCCATCAGAATTTAGTTGTCACATTGCTAAATAATGAAGCTTATTTCCAAACTAAAGGAGTAAACTTTTTGTTACCTGCTACACTGCTGGCAAAACCGTTGCTCCTTCCCACCAACAAGAACAACAGGCGTCTTAGAGTGCCTCTCACATACCTTATGGCGGCGATGATATTCCCTGCATTGATTAAGGTCAGAAGCACACCCATCAACCGAGCAAATAACAGTACTTTGGGCGCCGCTGTTGCCTGGCCTTCCCCTCTTTGAAAGCGCCAAAACCGGTGAAGGAGAAGACGAAGAAGCCATATTTAAAGGCATTGAATTCTTTAAGGTATCCATAGATACATCTCCCATATCTCCCAATCTTCCCAGCTTCAGATCCACTGAAAACATGTTATTAATTCCGGTGCCACTCGAACCTGCTAACGTAGCCAGATGATGATGGTAACCATTATCTTGAAACTCCACCTTACTCACACCATTCCAAGCACATGATTTAGAGTCCCACTCCATTACCCCTTTCCTCTTCCTACAAACTACAATGATATCCACTCAATAAACCTTTATCCACACAACTTGCTATGTTTACGACCCCACTGCAGACCGATGTCGGTATACAGTCTAAATCACCATACCTGATAACTCCATTTACATCAGAAAACAAACCTTGAACATCAACATACAAAAATACAGTAAGAAAAAGAACTGCAAGTTAATTACTAACTATACTAAAATACCAACATACAAAGTAAGACCTAAAGCCTGTAAAAATCATACATATAACTGAAAACACTGAATACAAAACTTCACACATTATAAAGTATAGTTTTTGAAATACCAAGGCAAAAGTAGTTGCAAGAAAGTGCATGGACAGTACAAAATGTGATTATATAATAAAAACCAAGTACCAAAGCAATGAAGAAGAGAATTAAATATCGAAAAAGCGATCAAAAGAGAGTAAACTTACAATCAAGTTCTTGAGCAGAAGGGCACTAAATTAGGGCTTCCTAAGCCACCCATATTTCTGACATGGACATCAGGATAATGAAAAACCATTGATCATAGGGTAAACTAACTATGAGAAATAATATGAGGTGGGAAGGGAGATAGGGAAATGACTGTGTGGGTAGGGGGGGAGCAAAAAAAATTGTGTTCCCTTAAGAAGAAATCAAGGACAATTCATTAGTTGTGGGTGAAGAGGACACACAAGTATTTTTGTCCCCCACATTAGATACTACAGTAGAAAGTAAAAAGACAAGCTCTTTTGTCTTATCACTGGGTTTAGAGGGATGCAAAGTGTGGTTTCGGGTTTAACTCCGTATTTATAGAGTAATAATCTAAACCTATGTATATAATTCCGGATATAAAACCATCAGGATACTCTCCTAAAGAGGGTGAACTTAATGAGGCCGATCATATGATAGGAGAGAACCTGCAAAGTATATACATACATAAAAAATACACGTAATTTTATTTTTTATAAAAAATTTCTGCAAGGATACTTGGACTATATTGGTGATAATAATTCTCTGAATCCCTGCATAAAGCATGCAGTAGGCCTCTTTTATTTACAAGTACAGGAGAAATAACAGTTGTATGAACTTCAAATCTACAGTATTTTTAATCGAATCTACCTTTTTTTTCAATGCCCACTGTGGGGTTGGGAACCATTGACTCACTATTTTTCCACTTTCTAATCATTCCCACTTTTTAGTCACTCCATTCTTAAATAGATCATACCTGCTCCATCTTAGGGGAGCTATTTGGGTAACTTTCTTTTTTAACCATTACTTGTATGCTGTACGTGTATTTTCATACCATACCACTTACTCGGGTAATTTCCACTATACAACCGGTTGTACTAAGTGCACAACACTATTAAGACATTCAGGAGGATGCTTTGTTGATTAAGCTAAGTCTTATATATTTCATTTTCTCTGAAAAGTGGTAGATAAAAGAAAAATTAGTACTCTCATTTAATTTTATTTTTGGTTCAATGAACAAGTGAGTTGAAGACAGAAGAGAACACACAAACAAAAAGGGTGATTGAAACAGGGGAAGAAAAAGGCATGAATAGCGGGCCACACAGAGATAGGGTGAGGTAGTTTTCATCTTTCACTTCAGCAGAAGAAGGCAGGGACCTCTGATAAACTAGTTGAAACTACTACCAATTTTGCAACAAAATAACAAAATGCTAGACATCATGGAGACTCACAAACATGTACACTAGTTATTGCAAATTATAATTGTGAGAGAAGGCATATAATTATCTCATGTCACCTTTATGCGTGCTACGTGCCATATATGTTAACAAATAACATTAATGGTAATCAACTAATCGTGAATGAGTTCGTCCAAAGCTTGAAAGTCGTAGCAATAGAATTCCATCTACATTCACGTGCTTTTATTATTCACAAGGAGGTCCAAATATACGAAACTAACTCAAAATCGCGGTAAATAGTGCTCTGTAATCAGTAATAAATTTGATTACCAAAAATTCAAAAGATGCACAACGAAACTAGATAAATGTTTTAAAATATAATGCTGCCTTTCCAATTCCAAGCCATACATTGCTTCTTCAAAGTTGCATCAGCGATCAGCAAATTTTCTAAATGATATAAATGGCACCTACTCAAAAACCAGGGCCCAACAAGCTGGATGATTAACTTGATCATTTATATTATATTAATGGCAACTTTTTTTTTACATCAAAAAAGATAATGAGTTGACAAATACAGTAACAATTAAACCTCCTATAAGTATACCTCCTATAGTGAAAGGTTGTATCTAACTGTGATGATAAAATGATATTCAGCAATTGTAGATTTTGACTCCAAGTAGACTAGCTTGCCATTTCAGCTAGCAGACTCACATATAAGATCGCATCCGAGGCCTAGTCAGAGACTGACCTCCATCGACAAATACTGTAGTCCCAGTCATATATCGTGAGCCATCGCTTATTAGATAACTAACTGTTGAAGCCAAATCCTTCTTAGGATCTAGCCATCTGTGCAGAGGTGCTGCATCTTTCACCAACTTCTCCGCACGCTCTTTCCCCACTGAAGTTGGGTACTCATCTTGGATGTGCAAGCCACGGGAAATTCCATTAACTCTGATCTGGTGTGTCCCTATCTCCATTGCCATAATCTACACAAAGTCATTAAGTCAATATTGTCAGATACACAAGTCAAAAAATAGAACCGTGAACAAAAAAAAAAAAAAAAAAAAAAATCCCTCGTGCACAATAGCAAGAAATAGAAACCATTAGTTGATGTTGCCAAACACAAATCAATCACGAGATTAACACAGCAACTTCTTACAGAAACCTACAAACTTGTAATAAATGCCAACAAATTTGTGATTAATTTGAACCAGCCACCTACTAAGATAACAAAATTAATTATCAATATGACACGAAGCCATAGCTCCATATGGGTTGCACATGCCATGGTCCTACTCCATTTGCACTCCTGTGGTCTGTGGGTGGTGGGTCTTGTCATGATACGCCACAAAAGAAAAACCAACTGTAATTCTTTCAGGTGGTGAAACAACAAATGCTATTTACCAAGCCAGTACTTTAATATCTGAAATTAAATCGACGAAAAAGAAAGAAAAATAAAACTCCACACTAAACCCTTTAAGAAATAGTCTTGCATTTTGCAGCCAAAGCATTTTGGCGGTTAGGTTTATTCTACTAGCCATAGCACAACAGGCAGCAACTTATTAAGGAAGCAAAAAAATTTCAGTTATTACCAGAAATTATTATAAGTTAAGAAAGAAAAGAACAAAGAGGACTCGGTGAAGGGAGGACAGAAACAAATAGATTTTGAGTCCAGATGTTGAATTGCAGTACAGGAAGTTTATTGTACTAGAAAAGGAGTGTCAAGAAACAGGAGTAATTGGAATCAAATTCAACTCCTACCCAAAATTTGACTAAGATAGCCTCAATCACCTCCATTCTTTCCTGGTGACATCTTTCATCTGCTTATGCAAGCTCCCAACCCTCCTCTCACATCCCAGCCTTGGAAGCTAAAACCCTTCCCAACAGCACTTCCCCTTCTGAATCCTAGGAAAACACATCCTTTACAAAGACTAATTATAGATGCAAAAATTCATCAAGTGTAAAATCAAAACAAACGAGGATAGCCATTGGTTTCCAGATTTCTTGGAAAACAGTAGCAGGGACGAAGACAAATCTAAGAAAAAGGCCTTAAACAGAGTGCTCATGTTAGAAAAGGTTTATTGTCTAATTTAGGACTGAAGGTCTGAAGGACATCAGACGAGGGAACCCATTATGCATAAAGTGAAGGATGGTACAATTGCTTATGCCTTGATACTAGGCGTCAGATGCTTTCAAAGTCATACCTAATGGCAACATTAATAACTAATTGTCCACCTAATGATAGAATGAGACATTATAAGCTTTACAAACTGACAAGGCTAGCACAAGACCATGTTGGCACGAGGCCTCGGGTGAGAAAGGGCCAGCCAACAGGGACATGTAGGCAGCATAAGGCTCGCATATCTACGCTGGGAGGCATGAGCTCGCTCAGCACAGAAAATTAGCCTACTGAGCATACATCTCAACAGCCTGTGTATCCTTTTCTAGTTTACTATTCCTTATCCCCCCACCTCATTCCTTTCTAATTATTCTTTTCCCCCACTTCACTTCCTTTTAACATTGGGCATCTTCTACTATTTATCAATCTCAATTCTCAAGTCACTTAGAAAGTCAGAAGATTATTATGGGATGGAGGTAGTTACAATTTAAAAGCGTTACTCAAAGATTTACTATATAAATTATTGATTTATAGATAACAAATGGCACAGACCGGCCACAAGCTGCCCACAGCATGGCAAAGGTGCGGTATATCAGGGGGAGGGTACCCATCAGGACCTCACCCTGCCATGCCATAGACAGTGCAGCCAAATGCCCCTGCCCTGCCAGCAAGACACTTGAGCCTCCTGGCTTGGCCTTGTTCCAGCTTTACTGACAAGACGTACAAAACTCAAAAAATACATAGAAATTGCGGAGCTTAAATTACTTGCATCTTACCCTCACTAATTGATTAACTCCAGCCAAACATGAGCCATAAGCAGCAGCTCCCTTGTATAATCCTCTCTCAGCACCAATTATTGAAGTCAAAAGTACAATGGATCCCCCTGTTCTCTGGTCGCGCATTTTAATTCCAACGGTTTTTACTAAGAACCAGACTGCCATAAAATTTACTTTTAAGGTTTTCTTGAAATCATCTTCGGCCATCATTAAAGGGTCTTGCATTTTGCCTGTCACAAATAATATAATTCAGCAACCTTCAAATCTACAAGGAACACAATCAACAATAATACGTTTACAGTGCCATAATACGAAGGCAATTAACTAATGTACAACTTCTCAGCATATAAGCAGTGACAGTTTGATAAGATGTTTTATTTAATTTTCGCAAAAATCAGAGTTGACCAATAATAAGAAGCAATTTAATAAGTTTAACGTCTAATGGAGGCACATCAACGGTGATAAGCAGCAATAAACTACTAGATAAAGATACACTGACTAATTCAACAGTATACTAAGAAGTGTATGCACAAAATGCAGATTTGGAGCCTCCACACGTTTTAATTAAGAAGCATAACGTAACATCCAAGTCCCTTTAGAGCTAACTTTTCCTTGGCACAAAGCAGTATCTCAATATTTAATATAACAGAAAAATTATATGATCCACAAAATTCTCAATTAGGTCCACCAGGATTATTATATTACGTGTAACATAAAATAATGCATAACAATGCTAATCAAACACCTGCATGAAATGCAAATATCATAACCTACCAACCACTAAGCAGTTTTCTGTCTTACTAATTTATTTATTAATTCTTTTGGGAGGAGAAGGATTTACAATGCAGGAATTTCTGAGCCAAGTCTTCTTCACTCTTATTCTAATAAAAAACAATCATATTTTGCATTCTGCAACGGACATATCTAGGAAATTAACATTGTAATAGTCACTTAAATTACCTTCATAAGCATAACAATTCACAAAGGCATCCAATTTTCCAAGGAAATTGCACGCCTTCTCCACAGCACCGTGAAAGACCGCCTCTCTTTCATCCTCCATATCCAATCCTACGACTTCAATTGCATTTTTATCCTTTATAGAATCAGCTATCCTATCACCGATATTTCGCAGACAGCCTTCATCTCCCATTAAAACCAGCCTGTTAAACATTTTTAAAAAGTTATCAGACAGAAACATAGTATGCAAATTAACAGTACCAAAGTTTTAAAATATATATACCCAAGTCTGTCACAGGAAAATGTAATGAATATTAGAAATAGATCTGGAAGCTTACGTTGATAGGCTGAGACACTTCTAGCAATACAAAATTACAAAGTCCATGAAAGCATGTATCCAGTTCAGGACATATTTGGATACAAATGGGGAAGGAAAATGGAAGGGAGGAGAATTAACTAGCTTCATTTTCCTTCTATAAAGGATTGGAAGGAAAACCCAAAATTTTGAAATGTACACCCCCTTTAAGCATATATCTTGTCCACTTCTGACTTTCTGAGTACATATAAATTAACATAAGTATAGATTCCTTACGAGCAACAAGCCAGCCTAAAACGCCTTTCGAAACAACACCACTTATCCATACAGATTCTATGGCTAACTAATGGGTGGAGGCTCATCCTAAAACTACATAATCATAGTTTGTTTACATCAAATACCAACAAAAGGCAAACTTATTCTGCTTAAAATACAATCTAAAAAGTCACATAAAACAAAAGTTACACATTCCTGCTAAGAAACAAACTAATCTAAACAAAATGTCAGAGCCCTTAGAGGACAAAAGTTACACATTCCTTTTACACTAAAAAAAAAAAAAAAAAAAAAAAAAAAAAAAAAAAAAAAAAAAAAAAAAACACCTTACTCTTATAGCCAATAAAGTAAGCTAATTTTGTTTCAAACAAAATCAACTAGTCAAATCTATAGCTTAATCATATAAACTCAAATAATCCTATCAAGGCATCAACAGATTGTGAGGCTTTTATAGGATGGCATAGGTTCAAGATGTACGCAAACTCACCTCGAAAACTCAAACTCTAACTCAAACTCGAAAATCATATCAAACCAAACCCATTAAACAAAACCATGAGATAAAGGGAACATGAGAAATCAATCCCAAGCTTAAACTTCAGAGAACTAACATTGAACATTACAATAATCTACATTCAAATTAGATCAAAACATGAAAAAAAAAAAATTAAAAAAAAATTATAAATAAATAAATAAGTTTTAAAATTGAACAGAACATACAAAAACATGCATTTACAATATAAATTATTGCAAAACACAGAATAAATTCAAACCTGCAGCCTTGTTTAGCCAAATTGTAAGCAATGTTAACAGAAACATCATCCCCATTAGAGGTTAGCAAAACCCTTTTACCAGAATTTTCCATCATTAATTATCTGATCAACAACAACAAATAACAAACACAATTAATTATAGCACAGTTTACAGAGAACCCCTTTATTTATAAACAATTTCCAAGAAAAGTCAAGCATTAAAATAATAATGGGAATGTTCACATTCAACAACGAAAATTGACACGCCAAATGCAATGTAATTATTAATCATAAAATTTGTTGAAAACCCAAGTAAACTAAATTAACGGACAAGAAAAGGGATGGAAATTGCATAGAAAAAATCAAGGGTTTTTACCAGAAAATGTGTAAGATATCAAGATATAATTTTGATGGTTTTTTTTGCAATTGATATATTCTGCGTATTTAATGGGGTTTTTAGAATACATTGGATTCACGTGTGTTTGACGAAATCGCAGCATAATTGTTAGAATTATGACATGACAGTTCTTAATTGCTGGTATTAAGTGTATTTAAGGGGATAAGAAAAGAGGTGTTGGGCATTTAACGTTGCCCAAAAGTTGACCACAAATTACAAAATAATACTTGTAGAAGTAGAATCTTATTTGCCTAGCCATCCTCTCTATATTTTTCTCTCTAGACTCTTTTAAAAAAGTGTTTTATAGGACTATTTTCGACCTCTTGCCTTTAGTTTCTTTAAGTTTTTGTTATTGAATTCAATAAATCTACACTCTTTGAAAGGTAGTAAGTACCCCTATAATGGGTTTGAGTGTAGTAAGTGTCTCTATGTTGGTCTTTGTTCTAGTTTTGTTTTTTGAGTTTGGTACAAGTTGTTTCATAGGTAAAGATTTATGCGGGATCGAAAAAGAGGTTAATCCTTCCATTACAATCAGATGAATCAGACGAAAATATTCTTCACGATTACAACAGATCGATAGAACCCCTCATCGAAGAAGTCTATAAATCACAACGATATAAAAGAGGTTATGAAAAATGTACGATTTGCAACAACGATCGTAGCTCTACTGAAAGGATGCTTTACGATTTGCAACAACGATCGTAGCTTTGCTGAAAGGATGTTTTTATTTGATTCAAGTGTTATGTATTTATCAAATTTAAATCTCTTTATAAATGTCGTATGACTTTTTATTTAAGAATCAATCTTTATTCAAAAAAAAAAAAAAAAAAAGTAGAATCTTATTTTTCTGTTTTATATATATCAAGTATATTTGTAATGTAGTTTGGTTCAGATTTGGCAAAAGCCTGAATTACCCAAATAGTACTCATAGTACGGTAGAAAACTAACAAGTCCGTCAACAAGATCCAAGTTTTATGTAATGGAGTAATTTATAGGCGTAATTCTTAGTTGTTTATGGGTAAAGATAAAGGTGAAATTTAATTCAAAGCTCTTTGTTCAATGAAAGGAACTTTGAATAAAAGTAGCAAATATACCCTTGGGAATAAATGTACCTATTTTTAGGTGTATCTAATAGAAGTTCCACTTACTATATTACGGCAGATTAATGACCTTAAAATTAATAGTACGGTGTATTATGTGGTTTCGATTTTGACATTTAAATTTTACAATTTTTAATGTCCATCTTTAACCATGAATATGGTCATAAAATATGAGTAAAATTCTAAAAAGTATTATTTTAAGGATAAATTTCAAGCTAGCTATAACAAAATTTCAAATGATATGGTTTTGATACAAAGTAATGGTCAAAACATAAAGAATAAAAAAGAATGGATAGTACATTTTAAATTAGCTCTTGCTCTGCTAATGTTCTTTCGCCCGCTATTTTTTTTATTATTATTTTTTATTTTTGGTCTTGTCTTGTCTTACAAGTGTTTATTTTTAACATAGTTTTCAATGTAATATCGTGATAAAAAAAGGATCTTGCTAACACACGCCTCCAAGACGTTAGATATCTATTTTAAATTTATTTAAAATGGTATTAATATAGGAATGCACTTTAAAATAACACGTCGATCAGTGTAATTAATTAATGTTCATTTCAAATTAATATTTTTACTTTTAACTATCTTATCCAAGGACATTCGTTAACTTTTGCCTCTTATATCTCTAGATACTCCCTCCGTATTTTATTAATTGTTTCATTTCTCCATGTGCGGAGTTTTAGGAGAATAGTAGAAATAATTAAATATGAAGGAAGTGGGATTAGTGGAAGAAAAAAGTATGATAGTTGGAAGGAGATAGAATATGAAAATATTAAAATATGATAGTTGGAGGTCCACTAGGAGGAAAGAAATTTGTAATGTAAAATATTGTAAAACGTTTACCAAATAGAAAATGAAAAATACACCCGCAAAAGTAAAGTGGAGCAAGTAATAAATTACGGAGGGAGTATCTATTAGGCAAAATTCAAAGTTTTTTTTTTACCCATAATACAAAATTTCAGTTTATGTCATCTTCCAACTGTTAAGAGTGTTGGATGTTGAAAGTCGTAAGCTTGTAACCAATTCATAAGCATTGTACATGAGTTTGAAAAAAAAAAAAAACAATACATTATTAAATAGCCACAAAATGATGCATCGTTTTCTAAAGTAATTTTCTTGTGTAATTACTAATCCGGGCGTACGATAAATTTATTATATATTTAAGTGCTAATTTACGAGTATATATTTAACACCTATTTTTTTTTGGCTCATTAATCATTTAAGGGAACTCCAAATGAGAAATTAAACAAAAACAAAGTTTATTCTTTGCGGACATGTATGATACAATCGACATGGTAGGAGATAATGGTATCAAATAGCCATACTCTTGATAAGCATATGAAGATTCTGATATGACATGCAATTATGCAAAATCTCTTCTACCAACTTAATTAAGCAAAATTATTGACTCGATTTAAATGCAAAAATTATTGATGGACCATAAATTTACTATTCATATATTATCTTTATTGTTTTTTGTAAGGGGGAAACATGCAATACATCAACATTCTACAGTAATTTGTAAATAAGAAGCTGATCCAAGTTAGTGGTGCAACTGCTCAAGCATTAAAAGATTTGAAACACATCAACGACAAAAAATTATTTCTTGTAGTTGTAAACTTATTGATCTAGTATTGAAATTTAAAATTTGAATATTCTATAAATAGATAATTAAAGGCTAAAGCTTACTCGAATTGGTAGTGAATAAACTTTTTTTTTAAAAAAAAAAATAAAAAAATTGGTAGTGAATTAATGAATAATGGACTACATGTCTATAATAATTGTAGTGTGGCAATGTCTGCATATATGAGTGACTTGGGATAAATGTGCAACATTACTGCCACCAATCCATCATACATGTTTGCTTAAGCAACAAAACATAATGATAGTAGTTTGCATGCTTGATTCATTACAGCTTAAGTTAAACTTCCTTTTTTAGGTGCAAAATTGTACTTGTTATACCTTACGAAGGTGGTGGTTTAGTGGCAAAGAGTGAGGGGTCGGTTATATGTGATATTCAGAAGTTATGAGTTATAATATTTCATCGTTCATTTGTAATGTTTTTGTGGCTCATTTCGATTTTACATGTATCAATATATGGATGAAAATCATATAATATATGGGGAAGTAGTTGTGAGATTGATACATATTAGGAATAAGTTTCTATTTTAGCATTATCTATGGAAAATGTTATACACATTGCTCTAAAAGGCTATGTAGTATGTATAAGAAGCTAAAAGAGAAAAGTGATAATGAAATATATTCATTAACTACACTAATTTATTACCATAATTTGTCATGCATTCCTAAACTAATACTTCTTCTTCTTTTTTTTTTTTTTTAGTTGATACTGTTTGACTTTTACATTATTCACAAACTAAACTTTGACTAACTTTTGTGATTTATAGCTACAATAAAACATAATCAAGTGTGATCTTGTTTGAATCGTCTCAGTTTATTAATACCCATTTTTTGTAATTTTACAATGTCGAGAATTAGAAATATTAATCATTAAAATAGTGTGTTGGCAAGCGTGATAATAAAATGGTGTAAACTAAATAAAAATGGAGGTAGTACCATATATGGAAAGATTTTTTGCTTACTTATAGCCTTAAAGGCTACATATAGCATTGTCCATATTCCATTGTTTGTACTTTTTTCAACAAAATTATACGGAGTTGATGATTAAAAAACAACCTATCACTTCAATGTCAAAACTACTATGAGTTTATGCTTGAAAATTTGTTTATACTTGGTATAAGAATAAGAGAGGTGTACAAATTTTTGTAAATGTACCTTATTAAAATTTGGTAATAAAAGAGATTGTGTGAGACTTGTAACACCAAAAGTCCAAAATCATAGTGTGCTAAATCTAAAATATGAGGCATAAATACCAAAGTTTGAGCTAAAACTAATTGTAGTTATAGCAGTAGCTGCTGTTTCTTTGTGTTCGTTCTGGTCCTAGTATTCCTAGTTTGATTTTTGAGGCTTGTTCCCTGTGTTTGGTTTTAGTTTTAGTTGTTGCTTTTGGGATTACCTACATCCATTTTTCTTGTATTCATATTTATGTAAGGATAATCTTTTATTAATATATTTCGTCTTTGTCGTGTTAAAAAAAAGAGTTAAAAACTTAAAATTTGAGCCAAAAAAATTTCGTATGTAAGATATAAACGAGGGTGTACTAATACATATTCCGTAGTACCGTACTAAAAATATGATATAAAGCTAAAGCCTTTTATGTGAATCTTTCTTTAAAAATACGAAGTAACTATTATGAGAATAGATAAAATGAAACGAGTTAAGATTCAACATAACCAACCCAACCCAACCCAACAAGGGTGTTCAGATACATATCATTATATACTCCATACTAAAAAAACATATCCAAAGCGACATAAAACTAAAGCTTTTTATGTAATTAGGGCAGTTAACACGTGTGATGCGTGCGTTGTAGGTAGACATGCCTGGGGAATTCTTTTGGTTTAGCCTTATATTACAAATTTAGTTCATTAATGAAGAAAAATATGCAAACAAATATTTTTAGGATACAAATGCTTGTACACTATCCTCAAGAGTTAAGAGGCAACTAACAATGAAGACAAATAAGGTCCTTGTTCCTTTGAGCTGCTGTGGTCTCCTCTGCTCTATCGAAATTTGTCATACTTTACTCTGAACTCAAAAAAACAGGGTCTTAAGTAAGTACCAAATAAGTATTTTACGGAGTAAAAAGTAATTGTTGGTCCAAATAATATTTGTAAGAGTTATCAAAAATGAATCGAGATAAGATGCGAGTCATCTCACCCAACCCATTATCATTCGTTGCTAATGCAATGGCTCGCCTATTGTCCTTCATCTAATTTTGAGTTGGTTGATCATCTTCCTCATTTCTCAAAATCACCATTAGTTCATCTTCTCAGGAGAGAGAAGAGAAATGGAAGTGAGCATGGCAGCTCACTCCCCTCTCATACATTCCAATTTCACGACTACCCCACTTTATTCACTTCCCACCAACTTCAAGTAAGTTGTCATCTTCTTCCAATCATTCCAATTTTCTCTACTTTATTATTTAATATGTTCATCTTATGAAATTATATTGCTATTTAATCTGTAATTTCAGCTTTTTTTCTGGGTTTTTTTTATAGTGATTTTGACTAGTTTTTTAACTTTTCTTTGTCAGATTGAAGTCATGCAAGAATCAGTCTTTGAGAATCTTATGCGACCGTTCCTGTTTTGAAGTAATTACATTACAATTTATCATGTGCAAATGCATTCTACTTTTTAATTGAGTACACATGATGATTGACTAAGGGTATACTTTGAAATTTTTTTCTGGGTCAAATTATAGAAAAAATTGAATTGGGTTTGTGGAAAAAACAAAATCAAATTGACTATTGACTTTCAATTATTAATCTATGGTTTTTGTAATTGTTAATTGATTTTAGGGTCTAGTCAGCTAATTTCTCGGTTCACACCCACCTATTTTGCAAATGTTAGAAAAAGGGAATTTGTGGGAAGAATCAGTGAAGTTTCCCTTTTGTAATTTAGTGGAATTTGGATGGAATAGATGAGGAAATAATCACAGTTTTGCAACAATGTAAATTTACATTGATTTTTACGGAGTGCTTTTATTTTTTTTATTTTTATAATAAATACAATCATATTGTTTGCTGATAAGTGAAGGGGATTGTTCGATATTTATGTTTTTCATTTGCGCTTATTCGAACAATGATGGGTGTTTCTTCCTTCTTGCCTTCTTGGTGAACGGAACACACGCACTGACTAGCAAATAAGTAGTACATTTTTTTTGTTGCTGTTTTTGGTCCTTGATGGTTCAATTTATGTTAATTGCATTACTATGACATCAATTATTAAAATCTGTGTAAACTTATGCAAATATTTGGACCGTATTTTCCTTTTATTTTATTGTCAAATTAGCTTGTTTACTGCGGATTTTATTAGCTGTGGTGTGCCACTTTGCCATTATATGTGCATATTACTGCTTGAGGTGATTGGCTACACAGTTTAAGGTATTTTATAATAATCAAAAGCACCTACTTGACTTAAGATTAAAATGCATTATCGGGTATTTGGTTTAATGAACAGTTGATAAGAAACGTGGATCTGGTTAATTTTGGATGTCCTATGGTGTGGTTATAGTCACATCTGTGGGAGGGAATTAGGGATTATGTTGTGTTGAGAAAGATGTGCATAAATGTACACATAAAATCAGTTTAAACTGTAACTTATCGCTGAAATGGATTACAGTAATGGTGTGGTCAAATAGTATTCCTTAAAATAATCCCTATCTTATTGATCTCATGAGGAGCAATACTTTTTGATTGCACCTTCTTAAGCTTTTTATACTGAGGGCTCTTGTTCTCCCTGTAGATAAATTGTTGTTGGCAGCTCCAACACTGTAATCTGTGTTATCCTTCAGAATAAATCAATAGTGTGGTAGTCCAAACATGTTGCAGTTCATTGATTTAAAACTTCCTGATAGACAACTTGTAGTTTCATACAGGTCAACTACCCTTATATCTAGAGTTGCCAAACTTATATGGGATTATACTGATAATTGCAACTGTGTGGGCTGACCTCACTAGTTAACAGCCTCATGGCACATTTTTCATTGAAGACTCTTGTAGGACAAAGGCTTTTTCAGCATTTTCAAAAACTGGATTTAGGCTTCTGTTGCACATGAGTACCATTAGTCTTAGACTTCATCAAAAAACTTTCCTTATAGAATCAATATTGTGATGTGTTATAGTAAAAATGTAAAATGATCTTAGCACATCAGTCTATCAGATGGCCAGTTAATTTTTATATCAAAGAAAATTAGTTATATCAATAATATAAAATGTCTTCCTTGAGTAAGTTGCTTAAGCAGTGTAATAGCATGTCTGGCTCCTAAATTTACCAGAGCTCTTTGGTCTCTTACAATTACAGTAATAGATTAGTCTTGCTTAACTCGTTGAGTAGTGACTATCTAAAAGGAAATTCAGGTGGATCAATATCCTGAAAAATCCGTCAGCTGAGTATGTTCCAGCCCCTGCTTCTACTATTGATGCTATCATATCTTTTCATCCATGTTTCTACATGAGGTGACCTTCTCTTCCTTGATTGCAGATTTATGAAATAGCAATCAACAATTATATTAAGTGCTTGTAGGAACATACCTTTTTGTTTTGCTTGTGGATGAAATTAGTTTCTTACTTTCTTAGTTCCCATGGTTATGGGTACAGTCTGCTTCTTAGAACTTTAATGAAGAATCTCGATGAACCCGATGAAAAAATATCTTTTACATTTACATATTGTGGACACTGTAACACTCATGTACCTTTTTTTGGTCTCCTGCAAGGTTAGGAAACTCTGTTATAAGCCACCTGGCACTCAGCTTAATATTCTGAATGACGTAAGCTTTTGTCTTCCACAAAAAAGGTATGCTTCATTTGACATTTTTCTGAATATAATTACTCCAATTTTTGTATTTAGTAGCTTGAGAAATCTTTGTTATGGAGCCTGCTTTCATCTTTCTTTGTCTCTTTACTTTCTGGTGTGTCTTTTATAAAAAATAATTGACAAGCTGACCTTATATGATGATTTCCTCAGTTTTGGCTTAATCTTTGGACGGAGTGGGAGTGGGAAAACAACATTACTGCAGGTTTTAATAAATTTATTGGTAGTACCATCATCACCTCATCTTCTTGTGGTTTATGTTAGTCTGTTAATTTTTAACTTCTTTTTGCTTGCAGCTACTTGCTGGACTTAACAAACCAACTTCAGGTTCCATCATTCTTCAAAGATATGGAGAGGATGGATCTCCAAATCAGCCTCCTGAGTCATTACCACCACAGCGAGTTGGTAAAGTTTTCCAGTTTCCTGAAAGGTGTGCAGTGTTGCTGGATTAGGGGCTGCATTTCATCTAATTATGTGGTTGGTCAATGGGATTTCTTAATTTTGCTTCTAGAAAGTAGCTTTTAATGCATATGACGTATGAGAAGTAGGATGTGTGTAATGGTATGGTCTCTACACACACACACACTTTCACAAACACACACCTACCTATCTATGAGAACCAATGATCGATATATCCCTAGTTATTTTTTTTTTTTTTTTTTTTAAGATTATCAGTGGCCTGAAGTCCCTACTTGGTGTTCGTGATTGTGTCAGATACTTTCTGGCCGATACTCTGTTGGAGGAGGTAACATTTGCCTGGCCTAAGCAAAAGGGAGGTCTTCAAATAAGGGAACAGCTTGCTTCGAATCTTGCACGAGCTCTAAATTGGGTATTGTTTATCTCTTTGCAAATTATATTATTTTAATGAGGGATCTTTGAATAAATCTACTATTTGTATTGTCTTGACTTGCATTTATCTAATTGTCAGGTTGGTTTGGATGGTGTGCCCTTTGATAAAGATCCCCAATCCCTTAGTGGTGGATACAAGCGACGGCTTGCTCTTGCCATTCAATTAGTAAGAGATTTTATTGTGTGCATCCATCTTGGTATTTACTTCCTCCATTTCATAATGTTAGACAACCACATTTTTTGCGTTTGAACTTTGATATATATATATTTTTAAATAATTATATTGGTTAGAATTTTTCAAAGCTATAACATTTGATAATTGTAAAATACTTATGATACTTCCTCTGTTCTTTAATGATTGCAACAATTCGGTTTTACACTATTCACACAATACCATGTGACAATCTATTATGATTTTTACGTTAGGAAATACATTCATAATATGAACTTTTAATAGCCAATTGGTTGTTATTGTAGTGGTTATTGGGGCTACACTTGGTAGGGAGGACTGCGTATTCGATCCCCCGCAACAACAATTGGGAGGGGACTGGAACCTAACCACCCAAAACTAATCCTCGAATCCGGATTAGCCCAAAGGGTGAACCGGATGGAACACAAAAAAAATAAAATAAAAAATATGAACTTTTACTAATTTGTAGTTGTAGATAGTTGAAGATATTAATGGTTAAAATAATGTGCTGGGAAGTGTGAAACTCCAATCATTGCAATAATTCAACACAGAGGAACTATAAGGCTTTATGTATTTTTATCAATATATATTGGAGAATATAACAATTAAACTCCATCCTTGGATGGTGTGGGTGCCCAATATTATGAAATGGAGGTAATATAAATACCATTTCCTTTCCTTTTTGATAGTTATGCTTTCAATTTACACCCGTTTGGCCGTTCCCTATTGTCTGTTACGCTTCTACTTTATTCCTATTTTTTTTTTAATTGTCCTACATGCAACACTTAATTTTTTCCTTTCCTTTTCCTTACATTAAACCCTTATACAACTGTCTATATTCATTCTTTTCCTTAAACAAACCCCACTTACAACACTCTTTTTCCTACGAACATGCGGACATGGCCAACTACTTACACCCTCTCCATTCTTTTAAATATGTGTATCTATAGCAACTGCAACTTTCAAAAAAGAATGGAGTTACTCGAGTTAGTAGTAGTGTAGTTAAGACATCAATAATTTGGTTGCAATGATCCAGAGTGTTTGTTAACTTCTCTCAATTTTGTTTCAGACTCAAGTTCCAGAGCTGTTGATACTAGATGAGCCCCTAGCTGGTCTTGGTATGAAGATGCAATTTTTTTTTTTTTTTTTTTTTTTCTATTTATAATTTACTAGTATTACCACTGGCGTCCCTAACTCATTAACATTTTTTTTTTTATTTCAGTTTGTCCTATAATAGTTGACCACTTCTAAAGATAGTATGATAAGTTAAAACTATCTACATTATTCCTAATGAAATCCATAGACCTTAATTCCCCAACTAAGAACTCCATTAAAGAGTACTCTGATGTGTGGTAATGTTAAATTTTTTAGGATACATGTGTATTTCAATTCAGATCCCAAAAAATGACCCCCAACCAATTTAGGGATGGAGTACGGGATGGAGTACCTAGTACTTTTTTTAGTAACTTGATGTCTCAGTATCTTGCTAAGGATGAATATGGGTGCATACACATAAGTGACATAACATACTGTCTTTAGGTGAAGGTTGAAGATTATGCTGGATTGCTCTTGCCTGTTGTTTTGTACAAGACACATATTAGTATTTTGGAAAAATGCATGAAGTTGACTGATAGATTATAGAATTCGATCACTGTAGTCTTCCTACTATTTTGATTTATGAAGGCATCTTTTTGTTGGTCTGACTCAAATTTCTATCAATTTATTGATTGAGGTAGATTGGAAAGCACGGGCAGATGTGGCTAAACTACTGAAGCATCTGAAGAAGGAGTTGACTCTACTTGTTGTCAGCCATGATCTTAAGTAAGCTTTCCTTAATTTTTCCCCCATCTTCCTATGCTGTGCATGTATCAATGGTGATATTGTGTATTCTAAATTACAGAGAGCTAGCGCCCCTTGTTGATCGATCATGGAGGATGGAAGGTGGTGGGGTTCTGAAAGAGGAGCTTCCACCATTATGAAATTAATTCTAAACATTGTTGCTCTGATTTAGATCTGATGTCAGCATTTTTATGTCTTAGACTTGGCAGTAAGCAATACATAAGTAAATGACTATTTTATTTGAGGAATGGTCTATGAATTGTCTTAAAAGATTTATGAAATGAATATCAGCAGTTGGAACTTACTAATTTGTTTTTCAAACCCCTAGAGCCTTTTGTAGGTGTCAACCTTGTGCACTTAGAAGTGTGGTGGTTGTATATATGAGCCTTTGATGGTGCTTTACTTGATCAGCGGGTTTGGTTAAATGAAACAGGGCATAACTACGTGGTGTGTAGGTAGTATTAAAATTTGATAATTTTTCCATCACCATTGATCTTGTTTAATGACCATGTTTTTGATAGTAGACACCATTTTATGAAGTGACATGGCATTTAATAGTCAGTATCACACTGTCACATGCTTAGTTTGGCAAGCGATGCTTGGCTGTCAGCTTATAGATATGATCAAACAGCCAAGCTGCTTCCATAATTTTTTGCCAGGTTTTTTTAGTCATCATGTCTTGCATGTTAGCAGCTTAAAGCCAAAAGCTGAATTTATCAAACTTGTTTTAAAAACGACTACACTCTTTGTCCCTTATCTACAAGCCTATTTCCTATTTTTCACGGGAATTAAGGATGTGGAGATTCCTTAAAACACATGATTGGGATTTGGGAAGTACAAATATGCATGTGGGATTAGGGAGAGATAGAGAGAAAGAAAAGGTAGTTGGTAATTATTGAAGAGAGGGAAAGAGAGTGTTTGAAAATGATGTCAAAAGTACAAAAAAATAAAAGAAAAATGATGACAACTCATCAAAAAGAGTGGAATATTGTCAAAAAGTACATTCTTTAAATAGAAATAGGTATGTTATTTTGGTTACCCCGAAATGGAATACAGGCATGTAGATAAGAGACGGAGGGAGTAATGTTAACAAGTGACCATAACAGCCCATTTTGATAGATACTCTGAATTTGTCAAACAATCTTAGCAAACCAACCAATAATCTAATTAATCAAAGCTACAATGTGTGTTTGGCAAGAACATCCATAAAATATAGGCTGCTCCATAAAATTCCCGACATCCTTGGTACACTTAGCAGCCTAGCATTGTTGCACAAGATGATTTAAGGTTGCTGATATATATCCTAAAAGCTAATCAACTTTGCCTTTTTGCACATAGGGGTGAATCAAGTGTATAGGATTGTGTACTTTGTACATTCCCAGAAATAGGAATCATTTATGTTATGCTACCTCACTTGACTGAAAGACTAATCTATTTTGCATTTTTGCAAGTATGGCTTTAAATTACAGTGAACTGGATGGCTTTGTTTTAAGGAGATATAGGCAATGTTGTTGATCAAAGGTTTAGTTGGTTATTTTATGTGTCTTAGTATCATCACAAACAGGAAAAATCTGTATTGAAGGATGAGGAAGTCAAACACTCAGGCCAAGAATCTACAGATAAGTTTTTCTCTGTATTCCCTCTTGACGTACATAAATGCCCATGAATATCTTGAGTATATGCGTGTATGGGATTTACTGATAATATATGATCATGAAGAATGGCTTCATAATGTAATTGAATGGTTAAATGTGTCTTGAATACAATATCTAATGTTGTTGCATGAATGTATGTACATTATCATTAATGTACAATTTAATGTGTTGCACTTTGAAAACACTAGAGTTAGTTATAATTGTGATATGTCTCGGAATGCCTTCAGCAGAGAGATGTGTCTGATAAAAAAAAAATTGATTGATTGTTTAACTTTATGGTTGTCGGTCATATACTTTCTTAGTGGTTTTCCCTTCGATATCTTTTGGTTTACATAGTTATGGCTAAAAATACAAGATTAACCTAACCTTGTTTGTGCTAGACAGTAGACACTATGACCTATTTGGTGGGTTTGCTTGCATGATAAAGAGTAATTCGCCAAAGTTTGTCTTCTCATATTTACTTCTTCAGGAAAGCATATTTTATATGTTCCTAGTAACCATTAACATCTCTGCATCAATATCCCAGTAGTAAAAAAAATTTTGGGGAATGAATCTTGCATACTTAAATTTTCATTACTAGTTCAATATTTTTAAAAAAATAGTTTAAAATTTTTACCAGAAGATTATTTAAGATTTTCTGCAGAAGCTCGCCTTTTTGTAGATAATAATTTGGATTACATTGGCTGATTAGATTTAGCTAACTGCAGTGAAATATTTTATATTATGCTACGGAGGTAGGTTTTGGATTCAAGGATTGTGGGTTTCCTCTTGGAATTGTTCGATGTTCTTTCTGTTGATTCAGTTATGAATGTAAGTTTGAGTCTACTCCCTGGCCTTTGCCTCATAAAGAAGAGAGGGCGGGGGTGGGGAGTAAAGGATGTACCATGAGAAATTAAGGACGTTAGGTTCTCCTTGACTATCTCTTAATTAAACTAGCGCTAATTTTCCATAGTTGTTTAAGGATAGAAGTGGGCGGCTGATCCAGGTGATTACACAATAAGCAAGATGTATTTTTTGTAATGAAGATAGAGAGGAGGGAAGAGAAAGAACGTGCGCCAAGTATGAATAAAGTAAATGGGAAAGACTTAAAGTTACTAGAAAAGGAAGTGTTGTAACATTTTTGAAACATCCCAAGCTAGCAAGTGTTGCAAATTTAGTGAAACGGAAGTGGTGAAACGAAAGAGTGTGCCAAGTATGTATAAAGTAAATGGGAAAGACTTAAAAGTTACTAGAAAAGGAAGTGTTGTAACATTTTTGAAACATCCCAAACTAGCAAGTGTTGCAAATTCAGTGAAACGGAAGTAATATGTATTGGATGATGTCAACATGGATCATTTACCCATGACTATTTTTCTATATATAATTCGATAGGCTTACAGTGAGTTTGGGAACTTGGTTAGGGATGAAATCAACTGAAAAGTAAACTTATGAAAGTATGTAGCAAAGCAAAACTATTGAAATTACTAGTTTTCAGAATTTCATTCGTGTAGTCGTGTGGTTGCTTAATGAGTGATTGAGTGAAAGCGAAAGTGCAAAACTATTGAATCAAAAAAATTATCTAGCTTGCTATTCTTTGGTTAGTTTGATGAGGAAAACTGTTGAAATTAAAGAGTCATTGAATTGAAAATGAAATTATGAAATCTAATTGACTCAGTTTTCAACATATTGCCATAATATTGCTTTTCTAATGTTTTCTCTCCCATTAATTAAACATGGTAAAATTGAGAATTCCATACATTTTTAATGCTTTTACTTCGCTTTCCTCTTTGATGTCAAGTTACCAAACGCACTGTCAAAAACTCAAAATCATTGGAGAAATATGTAACGAAATTGGTAAAGTTCTAAACAAACTTGGTTATAAAGGAATATAATAGCAGCACACCTGATTGTTACAGAGTACAGTACTTAATGTTCGTTGGAAATGGCATAAAAAAGAATAAAAAGATTTATTACAATGATCACTAGCACAAACTTTATATATATAGAAGAGCAGCTTCTTGCAAATAACCATATGCTGCATGAGCTCATGTACTTCTAACCATGCATAGCATTACTCAACACTCTATGCATACTAGATATAATATAATTATTTAAACAACTTCTAATCCTGAACTTCCTCGTTCTGCTGCAGTTCCAACACAAAATCTGCATTCAAGAATTGGGAATCATTATATGAGCTTAATGGCTGTCATTACGACTTCATATTTATTACTGAGCAATTGAGGAGAGCAAAAAGAATGGTATGATAATTAACTATTTACTTGTATGCAAAAGTCATATGGATGTGTTTCTTGTGCCCAATTGTCATTATATTTGACTGTGCTCGTGAGACAATAGGTCGCATTCAGACCTCAGCCTCAATTCTCTTTCATATTATTTCAAGGATCTAAAACAGAAGCTAGGTTGGATTATAGATAATTGACTTTTTATAATGTTGTTGGCATGATTCTTCATGATTATCTTCTTGACCTTGCAAAAGTAGTCTAATCTGCTATCATTATAGTATGAAATTTTGAGGTGCTTATAGTAGCCACGTGGTGGTACCCCTCATCTCCCAAGGGGAAGCTCCTGGATCAATTCTCATAAAAAATGGGGGAAGAGGGGTTATGTGAAGCTAGGCCTTCATTTTGGTTTATGAGAGAGGACAGCCTTAGGAGTTTGTTACCCAAAAATAATTATAGTACTAAATTAATCATACTATTATATGTGATTTATACCAATGATGATGCATGTGCACTTACATTCTTCATCAGTGTTAATCCAATGCTCCTTGTCTGCGTCACCAGATTCACCATTAGTGTATCTTTGTGGAAGATCCAAATAATTCCCGGTGATTGCATCACAAGGTAGTTTCATATCGGTCTTGGAGCAATGTTTTTTTCCTCTCTTGAGGGCGCCCCAGCACCTAATTTTACTCCTTTCACTGCCAAGTTCTGAATCTACCCTTGTATTACTGGAGTTGGGAGTCTTGTGCTTGTACTTGTACTTGCTGACCTTGGGGTCTTTCACAGCATATGCAGCCTTGCTGTTTTCAGGGTGAACTTTTTTGTGGAAAAGCTGGTTGATCTGTGGATAATAGATTGTATTAGGTTAATCTTAATTCCATGTTATGCTGAGAAAGTCAACAGTAAGTTCCAAAGGCTGTTGGGAATATATTTCCCATGATTCCATATATACCTTAAAGAGGATAATTTGCAAGATAGCATCCTTAAGTCGGGCTCCTACTTTCAATGACACCCCTAAGGATCCTAACAGGATAACATTCCCAGATACACCCTGACTTGCTCTTTCATCTTTTTAGTTGCACCAATTACCATTTTTTTCTTTGAAGTGTTAAATTAAAAAAGCTTACCATTAATTAACCCAATTTTGGTGTTGTTTAGAAGTCAAAATAATATTTTAGAAAACCCAATTCCATTAAGGTTGGTTAAATTTATAAACTACCTCAATGTGATGATAAATGGACAAAAGCTGTTCACAATATTGCAGAGAGAAGAAACTTTAGTGTATTCTTGATTTTTTTTTTTTACATAGAGGTGTCATTGGAAATAAGACTCTAGTTGAAGGTCTTAGGATTGTCATGAAAATACACCTAAAGTTGGGATATTATAGAGTTTATCAGAATAAGATGGTCTAAGTTTTGAACTAAACAGAAACATTTCTTTTTCTTTTATCATTGTTGGTTGCTAGCATAGAATGCAGTGAACTAGTAAGACATAAATTTAGTACAATATGGTTGAAGAGATCCAAAAGCCTGAAACTATTGTCGATTTAGCTAAATCTACTAATAATTAGAAGACTTGATTTGGTTTTGGCATAGTAAACCACTTAGTTGGCTTCATGATGGTGTTTGATTTTGTGCAAGCTTTGATTGCTGGTTGAAAAGGTAGCCTATCTCTTTAGGTCCATAATCTGAAGAAATGGTGTTACATGGTTCATAAAATAGTATTAGCAAGCAGTATTCAAGTTGATGAAATCATACCTTTTGAGTTATATCTTAGGCTTCTATTAGCACTATATGTAATTGATATTTCAGGACAGTATAACAGCTCCTTTGACTAGGGAGGCATGGAGTGTTGGAAGACTTACCTTGTTGAGTTTTCTTGTAGTCGGAAATGATTCAGCTGCATGGCCACTAAAACAATTGGAGATTTTATGAGAAATTTGAGCTGGGTGTAGCATCTTGTTAATCAGATGGTCAGACGACTTGATTTCTTTTGCTGCTTGTTTCTGGGTTTTGTCAGCCTCTTTGATGGAGTTCCTGGCCATTATTGTGTTCTTCTTAAATAGCTCAAAGAGGGATACCTTTTCTTTCTTTTCCTTTGGTTTAGTTTCCAGAAGTTCGTTGGATGACCCAAAAAGATATCCTTGCAGGGGATACATTTTGACAGAGTTGTAATCATTCTCATCTTCCTTTACCTCTTCACTGAGGGTTATAGTGCTTGCTTCACTGTTTTTCCTTGATAAATCAGTGTTTCCTTCCTTTTCAGCTTCAACCTTGAGAAATTTCTCCAACTCTTCATTGATAAGCTTCAAGTCATATCTCATTTCTGCCATTCCACTTTCATTTGCTAACTGATGAGGCAAATCAAATGTTGGCGTTGGGGCCTCTGATATTGACTCCACACTAAGAGTTCCAATTGTTAGGAAGCCTGGGAATATATCTGGGGATTGGTTTTCACTGAACTCTTCAGTGTTCTCATCATTGAACTCCTTAAGGTGGTGTTGGCATTGTTGTCTTGATTGCCACCTCTGTATGGAGTCATTACTTGGTGTTTTGTATTCTCCGTGATTGTTGGCTGATGGCTTTAGCAACAAGCAAGTGCAAGTGCTCCCTGAAACCAGAGAAAATGGAAATTAGGAATTTGTGTGAGCCTCAGATAGTTACAGTGCTAATTATATTTGGAAATGATCTCCTATGGATTTTAAATGTATTGGGTGGAGGAATGTTTGACATTTAACATTTAAATGGAGGTTCAACTATGTACACTGACAAGGTGATAACAGATGCGCTGTATTTTTTTTTCTATAGCTGCAAATCATTAAGCCAAGGATATATTAGGTGTGATATTGTATGGATATATTTTAAAAGGACTGAGTGTGGTCATACCAACAACCTGTATTTTTTTTATTTTTTTTTTCTACAGCTGCAATTCATAAAGCCAAGGATATATTAGGTGTGATATTGTATGGTTGTATTTTAAAAGGACTGTGAGTGTGGTCATACCAACAACCAAAGTCTGCAATGAACCTGTGGCATCTTTTTGGAACTTCCGGTGCATCCAGCTGAGTAACTGCATGGAATAATTACATAAACTCAGAATTAGATTGAATAAAAGGTATTTGTATGTTGTGCAAGGAGGAGTTTGACATACCTTCATTGTGATATCCTTCAGCCCTTTTCTTAAATTTGACACTGCTTTCCAAATTTGATGATTTTGGTGATAATATATAAGAAGTTGTGGCCACACTGGACATCCTTTTATGATTGAATGGTTGTAGTAACATCCTCTAGAAGACTGCAACGAAAAAATAGACAGAAGAAACACTTAGAAAAGTACAAATTGAGGTTGGATTATCTTGTCATGGTCAATATTTGTGGAGTAGGTTCCGGCTTACTCTACTAACTCTTAAGCTGCTATGTTCATCATTTATTACTTTTCAAAATTCTGTTGATTTTCCCGTCTTGCTATGGTTTTGCTGATGACATATGTTACAAATAGGTTACATTGCTCTTTAAAGGTCAGCCACACTGAATTACGTGGTGTGCTTCAGACCTCATCTCTTATAAGAGCTATGTGGTAATTTAGGATAGCAGTATGTCTGCAGTCATGTAAAGTTTTTTTTTTTTTTCTTTTCTTTTCTTTTCTTGGTTTACAAAATTACTATCACATGCTCTTGTATCACTAAAGTAATGGAAATCGTCTGACTTGGCACATCACTTGGCAAGTATTTGTATGAGCCTTTTATATGGGATCGGGAATGTTTTTTTTTTTAACCCTTTGGTTCAAGGTTGTCTTATAAGAGCCCCTCTTTATCCCTATCTCTATTCTTGGATTTTTTTTAATTTTTTTTTTATTTATATAGTTGCTTCAGATTAACGTTGAGATCAGCCTTATGGTTGCATGTAGAAGCTGCGAACTGTCATTCAAATTGGGTTTTTCTTTGGGTCAATTCGATTCTGGACATATTTGGGTGATGAGTCATTTGATTTATTGTAGGTTGATTTGATTTGATTTGGGTCTATTGTCAAAGAGCCGATTGTGACAAATCATTCAATATTAGTCATTTTAAATTTGGATTAGATTAATTTTAGTTCATCTGTAAATCGGGTCATCTAAATAGGGCATAGACTGTACGAGTTGGTTTTGTGTGGTCTAGTTATATGGTTGGCTTTGGTCCTTGCATATATGCATTTTACAAGAACTACTGGGAGAGACATGGTGGCGGCATGCGCATTATATGCATTTTACTAGAACTACTGGGAGAGACATGGTGGTGGCATGCGCAATATATGCATTATCATGAGTTTTGTACTTTTGTATCAGAAGCATGCTGCCTATCACACTTTCATTTGCTTATGTAAACCCCTATGCTCTTTATTAATCTCATTTGCTTACGGAAACTCTAGAGGTCAATATGCTACATTTTAAACATGTTTGTTTTTTAGCTTGACTTAGAGATGTCATTCAAGTGCTCAAATCCTCGTCTGGCATTTCTGTCTTTGATTTCAGAATAATTTGCATTTTTACCTTTAGGATCGACCCAAATAACTGTTAAGAGGAAGGTAAGCAAATGTCTTTTCATGTTTTAGCTATCTCTGCATTAAGATCTAATATCTTAGGTTCCTCTGAACATCTGATAGGCATTACATTATTTACATATTTCTTTTCATGTTATAGTTATCTTTGCATTTTTATCTACTATCTTAGATTCTTAGATATCTCTGAAGATACGATGGCTATTACATGAACAGTAAGCTTTTGTAGCTATGCTAACCTTGATAATCATGCACTAAGAAAGGATATAATTTTTTTCCTTAAGCTCTTAATTCGGTTTGCCATCACAATTAATAGGCAACGGCAGATGAATTAGCTAATTGTCATTTTTTGCTTAACATATTTAGGAATGTTGGATGCTTGGATTTAATGTGTTGAATTTTTCCACATTAGGAAGGATACTACTGATTAACGGCTTGTTACGAATTTAATGTGTTTAATCACACGTGTTTTTTCCACTTATGGTCTGTATTATCATTTAGTGAAATTACCTTTACCTTGGTCTGTCTTTTATAATTGTAATGAAGCTCTTTGGATTCATATAATTCTCCATTCTCTGCCTAGTTACCTCCTTGCCGGTCTAGTGTTTATCTGTGTTCTTCCCTTCAATAATTGTGAAATAGTTTTGTGATCTGGATGGTTATTACCTGACTACTAGTTGTTTGCCACTTGCATGTAAGATATAGAAACATATAAAAGCTAAGGAACAAATTTTGTGCTTTCCGCCTTTATTTGAGTAACACTTCGTACTATATATGAACTATCATGTGGGGTTAATGTGTAAGCTGGATGAACTTTGCAGATACAAGTGCGGTAACTGTGCGCTAAAGGGTTGATTTTTGTTTGATCTTAGTTGGAGTGATGTATAACAATGGAGACGGAGATACCGCTTGATTTATGATTTTGGTTTAGGTTGCAGATTAGTTTGAGTTTGTGTAGTTACTGTATTTATGGAAACAGTACTGTCTACTTTTGCAGGATAACATTGCAGCTCCAATTTGTTGCAGTTTTGCTGCACAAAATTTTAACAGCAGGATGTAGAGACTTCCTTTCAGTGCTTCCCAAAAATGACCAGCCTACTTGAGAGAAGTCAACAAAAATTATCGAAAACTTAGAATAGGGCGCTTGCAAGTTGTAAACGTTCAATTGTTTCTAAAGCTCCAAAATGTTCGTGAACTCTGGATTGCCGTTTGTTCTAATGCTTTGCTGCCCTGGAATTAAAGTGAGTTAGTAAATTCAGTTTTCATCTGTGTTTTTGCCCCTTCTGGTTTGATTATACTTTGGCTCTAAGCAAATGGACTGACTAAATACAGGTGAACCGGGGGCCGACCGGAGGTAGTTCCATGTATTTGTTTGCGTATAGTACGCGTGCCACCAAAACCACCAATCGAACCTTTTGGTAAAAAGAGGTTTGGCTAAATATTTGAGGATTGGATAAATGTTTATTATCAGCCTGTTCTTCTTAAGATAATGTCTACCTCTTTTTTTATTAAGATTTTGTCAACCTCATACACTTGTGTTTGATCAACTCATTGAAAGAGAAATATGGGGTCAATCACATCTTTCTTGAAGTGCCGAGGAAGAAGGTTTATGACTAGAAATTTATATTTTATCCAAAACCAAGAAATTGATAAAATTATGATTTTTTTTTTTTTTTTATGATAATATGTGACTAATGTTATTAATGATAATATGTGTCTAAGGCGATAAATTAAAAGTCCAATTATTGAGTAAAGACCGTGAAGTTCATGACATTTCTTTGTTCTCACCTTACTAATTAAAAAGCATTATAGGAGAACTAATAGACTTATAATCCTTTGATTCCGAATTATATTGACTATAGATCATCATCCTGTACGGTGAGAGAAAACTACCATAAACACCTTGGAGCGTGAAAGCTTTACCATTGAGTTTAACTTGATTCTCGATACTAAGACTAATTGGAAATAATTTCTCTCACTTTGTTCCAAGGTTTTCTAGTGTACATTTTGAAGACTTTATTATAAAAGAATTGTAATTTTTGGAAATATAACTTTGTACCTATCAGCAGAGTGATGTTCATATTAAATCAATACTTGTATATTCCTGATCTTTCCTTTTTTTTTAACAAGATACTTGTATACTTATTCGTATCACATAAGAATTTGCATCTTAGTTCCAATTTAATTAAAATGAAAAAAAGATGTGGAAGATTTAGTAGGGTATAAGATAAAAGTGATTAAGATATTTGTTGGAAAATCATATGCATTAGACAGAAACTTTTAAATGGGCACTAACAACTTTCATTTTATTCTATTGGACTATAACAAAGGTAGGGAACTTCACTTTTCTTTTTTTTTTCCAATAAATTATATGATCAATATACTTACTAATCTAGTCTATACTGTATTTAATATTAATTATTAGATGAAAGATAAATGCCATAAAAATAATAAACTCACTTGGATGTGAGAGGATGGATAGAAGCTATAGTTTGTTTCCTTTTCAATCTTTGTTTCTTAGGGAGGTTGCTTCAAGTGATAGGTATTCTAGAGATTTTATTCGAAATCTTTGATAGTGGTTGAAATAGACGGGTGTGTTGTAAGATTGGATTTCGAATGAGATATCAACAGATAACCATAGGTAGTTTGAGGGGGTGATATCATGATACATGAGGTGATTGATTATGAGTATATACATCCATTTTATGTAAGAATTTGTAGAGAAAATGAATTGAAAAACGTTGCTATTAATGTTATTTTCTTCATTTTTTGATTTACAATTGGTACCATTAGGAATTCTTAGCAAGTCAATTGTGCTACAACAGTTGATTGAAGAGATACACGAGCTGGAGTTATGAATCAAGTCATGGCTAAATCATATAAAGCATCAATCATTAATATCATAGATGAACATACAACAAGTGGTAAAGAATCGAAAAGGTTTTTAATAGATTGCTAACCGAAAGTCCTATGATTCTAGGGTTGTCTTTATTTATTTATTTTTTTTTAATAATTTTATTGCTCTTCAATTCTTTCAAATTACTTGTAGTCATGTATCTTAAATTATTGCATATTTTAAGCTCTTAAAAGTTACAATAAAGTAGGCTTAATTATTATCAAATAATTGCCTTTTAATAAAATTCTAAACAACTTTTAAATTTTTTGAAGAACAATGCAAATTGATTGATTATATCCATAAAAAATGGATTACTCCGTAATTTTTATACAAGAATTCAAAAATATATATTATTCAAAACTTTTATATAAAGTTTTGTGTAGTGATATTTCATAAACAAAGAAAGGTCTAACTCACGTGTCATGTTAGCGGACCCTTTAAGTATATTTTTATTTTTAAAATTTATTGGATAATCCTTCCATTTCAATATAATTAGCACAAATTGACGGGCACAATTAACACACAAGTTTGACAAAAAATAAATAAAGTATTAGTTAACATTATATAAAAGTTGATATTATGAAAAAAATATAAATACTACTAATTAAATAATATTTTATATGATACAGTAATAATTTTATTTATAATTATAAAAATAAATTAAAAAATTTAAAATGTGTCAATTATTTTGTACCAAGTAACAAAAATGAAAAAAAAAAACTAGTCATTGTTATAGACTTCTAATGCCAATCGTCTTATGTTGTGTTATGTCGGGCTTATAATTGGCTCTTCCCTGCCTAGCTATAGTTGTGCATTTTCACACCGCTTGATTTGGTAAAAACTGCGGTTTGCAGGAGTTTCTCCACCCCCATCAATATCCAGTAATCCAGAATGGCGTGACGTAAAAACTTTTATTGGAATTACAAACTACGGAGTATCTGGTTACCAGAATAATCCCTATATTTTAATCACAACTATCTGCTTTCTCTCTCCTCAACTTAGCTTGTCACATTCATCTTCCTCCAACTTTTCAACAACAACCCTTCTTCTTCCTTAACCCAGATCAATTACCAAATATTGGAGAGAAAAATCCCAGAAAATGGGGACAGAGGTAGAGATTACAGAGCCATTAATCGAAGAATTAGAGGGAAAAATCAATGAAACAAACCCAGTTGAAGAGATAATTCCTGAATGGCAAGATCAAATTACTATAAGGGGATTAGTAGTGAGTGCTTTATTGGGTACTCTTTTTTGTATAATTACCCACAAATTAAATTTGACTGTTGGAATTATCCCTTCTCTCAATGTTGCTGCTGGGTTATTAGGGTTCTTCTTTGTGAAATCATGGACTAGTGTGCTTAATCAATTGGGGTTTTCTGTCAAGCCCTTTACTCGTCAGGAAAATACTGTCATTCAGACTTGTGTTGTTGCTTGTTATGGCCTTGCTTTTAGTGGTAAATTTCTGCCCCCCGTTTTTTTTTTTTTTTTTTGACTAATTTTGTAGTTTATGATTCTGTATTCTTTGATTTGATTTGATTTTATGTTTGTTTTGATGGGTTTTCATTTTGGTAAATTTTGGTTGTTGTTACTTTAATGTAGCTCTTGATTTGATTTTGAGAAATAGTGATTGGTCTAATTAGTTGACTAATTTTGCATGTATTTTTTACTGGTAGATGATGATGATGGGTTAGTTGGGAACAATGAAAAACTTTGATATTGAATTTAGATTGACAGGAACATTGACTTTGTAGAATTACCTCTGTGATAGTTGTTTGATTCACTGTAATCAGCAATGGAACAGGGGCTAACGTTGGGGTCTTGTATTTGTTTGATTTCTCGTTGCTGGTAAGTCGGCTGTGTTCGAATTTCTTGGTGTGAGGTATGACAGAATTAAGGTAGTTTAACTTGTAAGCTCAAGCGAGATTGATCGATTCATTAATTGAGTCTAGAGAATTTGCAGAAAATGTGAAGTTTTTCTGGGAAAAAAGCTACCTTTTTTGCTCTGGACAAATTGCATTTTGATGGAAAACATCTTTTTATATTACAACATGATTTTTGTGAAGTAATTTTAAGTTTTTAGATTTTGCTAATGCTCAATGAATTAATCTGCAATAGTGCCCATCTTCTCCTTTACCTATCTAATATTCATATACATAACTATGTAGGCCTGCATAGTGATAGGTTCTTATAGTAAGTATCCTAATAACGTGAAGTAATTAAAGACTCGATTTATTTAATGGTACTTATTGGATCTTAAGTTTGCAAATCATATTGCTCAATTTAACTTACAAGCCTGCACTGCACTCAATCTCACTGTAGCCAACAGCCTATTCTTATGTTAGCTCCACCATGAAAAAATGTTAGTCTCATCAAATCTCCTTTCCCTGTGATCCCCTGTAACCCTTTTGCTTCTTTTGCATGTTATACCATTTGCTCAGTTGTCAGAATAATCCTTCATATATTTGTATAAATTGACCACTATGTTTATAAAGTGTGTACCATTGTATTGTGAACCAAGTGATGCTGGATGTAAGGTGTTATATGGCTTTGAGTTAGGCTTTGGGAGGCAGGAAGACCTTTGTTGTGAAGGGATTTATGGAACTTAGAGAAAGGTAAATTATGCTTAGTTGTTGATTGAAAGAATTTCTTGGTGACTGTAGCTGGTGTTGATGTTTTCTAATATGGTGGTTGTGAATGTTGAATTTAGCTAATGGGGTTGATGGAGATGCTAGTAAATTGGACTATCCTTGAGGATTGTGAATTCCACAAATTACAAGGCATTATTGTGAAATCCCTTCATCCTGAAACGATGTTTTAAATTAACTTTTGACCTTGATACTAAGAGTACCCATGTGGCTAGATCACTTTTCCATTCATTAAATATATTCTCGTGTGTAAACATGCGCCAATCCATATTATTAATCATTGAAAAGGCAATTGAGTAAATGTATAACTTAATTTCATAGAGAGATTTTTGAGAACTTTATATGTAATTTCCTGAAAATTAATTTGGCACTTAATATCAGGATTGAAGAGTCTTTTCTCATTTTCTTTTGAGGGAAAACTTTAGTGCTTCATATAGACAAACTTGTCCATGAGTAATTATGGGGCCACCTCTGACAGACATTGGTTTACCCAACATTGTTTATAACACCAAAAGGCACTAAATTTGCAAGGTGACGGGCTGTTATCCCTTCTTACATGAGTCCAACCCACAATATTTAGCGACTTAAAAAGAAAATATCTTTTAAAAGGGAATCAAAATCCGAAAAATAGCTCAAATTCTTGTTCAAATGAGTCCAAATAGCTTCTAATCTGACTTAATTGGTATCTTTTTTAAACCAACCATCATGAGCTTTGTCTGTCATTGAGCGCATGGGTCTGAATGCCGGTAGAACTTTTTTGAATTAACTGGCAATGAATTGGGAATACCAGTCATTCTAACCTAATCACTTTGTGTTGTGATAATGCTCTTTCTATCCAAGAATATGTGCTTTATTGTTTGTTAACTCTTCTCTTTATTGATGAATACTGAATAGATGCTGTTTTTCTGTTACTCTTGATCTTCATGGCTACATGTGTTTTCGGCTCTTATTATTTACTCCATAATACTTTTACATTGTTTCATCAAGATTTTCCACTGAGTTTCCCCCTTCTTAATTCTTGTTTATGAACTAGATTATTTGTGTTTCTAAAGTCTGTTTGAATTTGAATTTGCTCAGGTGGTTTTGGTTCATATTTGATAGCTATGGATGAGAAAACTTACAATCTTATTGGCCCTGATTATCCGGGTAATCGAGCAGAAGATGTGATAAACCCTGGTTTGTGGTGGATGATGGGTTTTTTGTTTGTCGTTAGCTTCTTGGGACTTTTTAGTCTTGTCCCACTTCGAAAGGTATGTTCATTTACACATTGGATGTTGACTTTAAACGTGGATATAACATGTAAGTAAAAGAGTGATATACTTTGTTGTTGATTAAGCAGTGAAATTTCTCTTTTTGACAAGAATATCTGATTTGCTTTATGGGTTGCTCGAGGCTTTATTACATTGCAGCACACGGTCACATACTATCCACTCTGTCCCTTAACCCAATCTTTAAGCCTGTGTATGAGTAGTACATATCATAAGGTGCAATAATAATAGGAAAGTTTAGCAATTAAATTGGTACAGAGAGAGAAGCACACAAGCACTACACATTTAATCAAGGGTGAACTTGAAACTTCTTTGTAGCTTCTTTGTTATTGCAGAAGTCAGGCTGTGTACATTAGACTTCCCTTACTCCGTCTGGGATGGGATCTTCTTTAGGGGCATGAGGAAATTTAGTAAAATTGTTAAAAGATACAAGGATTTTAGGAGATTTAGTATAATTTAGCCTTTTTTTTTCCTGCTATTGAATAATAGTGTTTTATCTGGTTATCAAGGTCATGGTGATGGATTATAAGCTCACATACCCAAGTGGGACAGCCACAGCTATGTTGATTAACAGTTTTCACACAACAACTGGAGCTGTGCTTGCAGGGTAAGTAATACTAGTAGACATTATACATCCAAATGTTGGAAGCAAAGAAATTAATTGTGGAGCTAGTTTCATAAATCTAAAGTCTCATGAATACCAGGCAAAAGGTTATATCTTGAAGGTGTACTAGCCAAACAGTCATATTTTCTTAATATAAGTTGTTTGATCTTAGATTTTTACTTGTCCCATTGCTTCACAGGCAGAGCGCTTTAAATTATTTTAAGCTATGTTTCTTTTGTTGCATAAGGTGTGGTCGTCTCTTACCTATGTCACCAGGAAACATATTGTACTTGAAGCTTGTCATAATTAAGTTATACGTTGTATGTAGAAATCTTCTTATATAATCACTCATATGTTAGGTTAAATCCTTATACCCATGTTTGACTGAATTATGTTGTTTCATTATTCTTAACATTAGTTAGGCTACAATACAATCAATAGCACAACATATGGTCTTTGTTTGTACTATTTGTGGTAGCAACTACTCAAGAACACCAAGGAGGAATTGAATATACAGTTCTGCTAATATATCCTTTTGAAAAGGGATATTGCCTCTTTATTCTCATATATGAGTTCATTTGGTCCTTTCTTTTAATGTGTATAATTTCTTCATTTGCAGGAAACAAGTAAAATGTCTTGGGAAGTATTTAAGCATTAGTCTAATCTGGAGTTGCTTTAAGTGGTTTTTCAGTGGTATTGGTGACTCATGTGGGTTTGATAATTTTCCCACTCTTGGCTTAACACTATTCAAGAATACGTAAGCTTCTTTGACCATCTGTTTCTGTTATAAATCTTTCCTGCTTGCAACTATACAGTATTTTATATGAATGTTGAAGTTCCTGTTGTTTAATATTGTCTAGCTCTACTGCCAGATTAGGTTAAGCCTTGCAATAATTGAGTTATATGTAGAGTAATTAAAATGAGGTTGAACTAGGACTTGTAAAGGCACAACAAGCTCAATTTAGGATTGTTAATTCCTTGTAATATCAGCCACATGAATATATGGACGAGTGGCTGATGGACTCATGGAGGGATGTGATAGGCATGAAGATGAATGACAATTTTTTTATTTATTAGTAGTGTATAATGACTTTGTTTTCCGTATGTTATAAATTTGGTGCTCTGACTATACCCTTGAAAGCCGGCAGATAATTGCATGAGATTCTGCAAAAGACTATAAACTTAGTATACTGTAATCTCAGTGGTTTTATAAACATTTTCTGTATCCCGACTGAAAAAAGTTTGTTGCCTAACCCTGAAATGTATTCTTAAAGAGGTTTACAAGTGACTTAATACCCGGAGTAACGAGTAATATGGCTTTAGAAAGTTTGTTACAGTGATAGTTACTGAGTTTTGAGGAATGAAGAATGGAGCTAGTACTTAATCTAGTGACTAAGTATATATGGTGCCGTTGCATATAGTGCACAAAATGACCCAGAAGTAAGGAAAGAACAGGATGGAACTTCGTTATTCCCCTGAGCTGATGGTGAAAGATTAAATGAAAACTTTCTTACAAGTATCGGGCTAAGAACAATCCATCCATATAAGCCTTGTTCTTGAGATAGGGACAACTGGGTGCTGCTCACTTTGCAGAAGCTTAATACGAACAGTGTTATTAAATAAGAAAGTAGCTATGTGAGTAATGTGAGGTTAAAAGTGAATTAGGAACTTTCTTCGACGATTGCCTTATCTTGACTGGCAAGCCTTTTTTTCCTCTTTTTTTTTGGCAGCTTTCTTTAACCTCCATTTCTTTTGGACCCTATGAACCTGATTCTTGGCCTATCATAGTGGTGTTTGCAAGTGAAGAACCTGCTGGCTTTGATCTCTAACAACAACCCTACAACAACCAGCACCTTATATGGTCTCTGCTCCATGAGAGCTTATTTTAGTTCTCTTTGCTCACTTGTCAGCCTTTGATACTAGAAACACTAATGTGTAATTTCTACACTTCTACCTATCCCGCGCATAAAGGGTGTTTTTAGTAATTCATGTATTAATCTATATTGCTAAAGAAAGTTCGTGTGATTTAGAAATTTAGAAATTTTTTTCTCATGCTTTTGTCATGCCTAACATACTTATTTGCTTTTTATATATATGCAGATTTTACTTTGATTTTAGTCCAACTTATGTGGGATGTGGGCTTATCTGTCCGCACATAGTAAATTGCTCTGTACTATTCGGCGCAATTATTTCATGGGGGTTCCTATGGCCCTATATCTCAACACATGCCGGAGATTGGTATCCTGCCAATCTCGAGAGCAATGACTTCAAAGGACTTTATGGATATAAGGTATTGTGACTCTAGCTGGTTAAAATAAATTCTGTAAAATATGGATATAGAATTATGCCAAAAGATTGATAATCTGCTAACGAACGGACTCAATACAATATCAGATATTGTCCTCATGACTGCCCCAACATTGATGCTGTTAGATATATCCATTTTGTTTTTTTTATCTTTCGTTATGGTGATACATGCTGCTTTACACTCGCATATTACAATATTGGTTTCTGCTCTCTGGGCATGGAGGCTACGCAGTAATACATAGTACTTGATTCATTTCTTAATATGGTATTTTCCAATTGTAAGAGAAAACTTCATACTTGTGATGTATCCAGGTATTCATTGCAATAGCCCTCATTCTCGGTGATGGTCTCTACAACTTAATCAAGATAATTTCTATTACTGTAAAGGAATTAAGCAACAGTAGAAGCAAAGAGAAGCTTCCTATCATGCAAGAGTTACCTGGTTAGTTGTCTATTTATACATTTCGAGGTCATTTGATGAGCCTGCTATGAGCCTATGAGAACTGCTAATGGAATTCTAGGCATTTTTATTCTAATTTGAATAAAGAAATTAAATTCATTCCATGACCAGAAATCTTCAGAATAATCTTTAGATTTTTTATTTCATTGAATAATTGTACAACATAAGCTCCTTGACAGGCCAGAAGAAAAATTACTGTTTGACAGTTGTCTTAACTAATGATCCTTATATTTTTAGCACTTGATTTTTCAGGCTCAGAGGATTCCAAATTGCATCTTGAGCAAAAGCGAAGGGATGAGGTATTTTTGAAAGACCGGATTCCTTCCTGGTTTGCTGGGGCAGGATATGTGGGCCTTGCTGCAATATCCACTGCAACAGTGCCAATGATATTTCCACCACTCAAGTGGTATCTAGTTCTCTGCTCATATATAGTTGCACCTGCTCTTGCTTTCTGCAACTCTTATGGAACAGGGCTTACTGATTGGAGTCTAGCTTCAACATATGGGAAAATTGGTCTTTTCATGTTTGCTTCCATAGTTGGATCCAATGGTGGTGTCATAGCTGGGTTAGCAGCTTGTGGAGTGATGATGTCAATTGTTTCAACAGCTGCTGATCTTATGCAAGATTTTAAAACTGGATACCTCACCCTTTCTTCGGCCAAATCTATGTTTGTGAGCCAGCTGATTGGAACTGCTATGGGTTGCATACTTGCCCCTTTAACATACTGGATGTATTGGACTGCTTTTGACATTGGCTCACCAACTGGTCCTTATAAAGCACCATATGCTGTAATATTCAGAGAAATGGCAATTTTAGGTGTAGAGGGCTTCTCAGAGCTGCCTGAGCACTGTCTAGCTCTTTCATGTGGGTTTTTTGTTGCTGCACTTGTCATAAACCTCCTGAAGGATATTACACCTTCCAAAGTTTCGAGATTTATTCCAGTTCCAATGGCAATGGCTGTCCCATTCTATATTGGAGCATACTTTGCAATTGATATGTTCGTTGGGACTGTCATACTATTTGTGTGGGAGAAGATAAATCGCCAGGGTTCTGAGGATTTTGCTGGAGCTGTCGCTTCAGGTCTAATATGCGGTGACGGAATATGGACAATACCTTCTGCCATCCTCTCCATTCTCAGGATTAACCCCCCAATCTGCATGTACTTCGGACCAACTGCTAGCAGTGGAACATGAGTTTATCTGTAGTTCTGTACCCTTCCTTGAATTTCCTCCTTCCAAGCTGATTTGTAAATACTCCGTATTCCACTGTGGAAAAAACAGTACATTTATTGTAGCTGTGATCTTTATCTAGTGTCTATTCAAGTTTTTGCTGTGTATATGCATTCTAGGATGGATAAAGCCCGGGAAAAAAAGAAAAGTTCTAAAGACTTTAAATGGTTGTTTGTTTAGACTTTGAATAGAAAATTCTATTCTATTAAGAAAGAGCCCCCCAAGCTAGTCTACCTTTTAAGATTATTTACAAATTACAATGTGCACGATAAGTTAATGTTGTCAATATTTGTGTACAATTGCATGCTTACTTGCTTAGAGACAATTGTTTGTCTAAACAAAAGCGCTGTTACTACTCCTTTGTTTTAAATTAAGTGTAATAATTTGACTTTTTATATTATTCGTACACTAAAACTAACCAATGTTGTACAATGCTTTGTAGTGTGTAAAAAATTACTATATACTTGTATAGTATGTTGTTAAATTATACATGACTTGTATTTTCATACTACCAATTTTTTAAATAAGTGTACTACATATTAACAAATAATTAAAGCTAGTAATAATCAAAATTTAAGTATTGACAAAGTGTGTACATCAAATTATTGCATGAATTAGCACTCCCTCCATTTTTAAATACTTGCTCCACTTTTCATTTTCGACCGTTTTTATATACTTGCTCCATTTTCTTATTTGGAAAGTTTTTACAATATTTAATTCATTTCTCTCAACTAGTGGACCCAACATAAACCATATTTTATTAGTTTCATATTCTCTCTCTTCCAATTCTTTCCACTACTTTCGCTTTTTATAATTTTATATTCTTCTACCTACCCCACTACCTCCCTATTTTATTACTTTCTCCAATTTCTCCTAAAACTCCGCACATGGAGAAATGAAGCAAGTGTTTAAAGACAGATGGAGTATAAAACAGAGGGAAGTGTTGGGGTGGCATTTTTGTTTCAAAAAAAAAATTAAATACATCGTATTATTCATCAAAATAATATAATAATTTCAGGAAAAAAAAAAGATTAAAAAAAAAAAGAAAAAAGAAAAAAGAAGAAAAAAAAAGAGAAGAGAACAGAAATAAGGATTTCCCTCTGGTTTTAGTAGGAAGTTGGACTGGTAGTTAGCATTGTCTCTAACTAACCTTCTCACAGCATGCACTATACCACGAAAATCTCTAACATTCTCATCTTTTTCCCCAAACTAAAACCATGGATACTCCAGAAGCCCGAATTAAGGACCAAATCACCCTTCTCGAAGACGAAGAGGGCAATATAGTAAATCTACAACAGCAGCTAAAGGATGCTCAGAAGAAGAATATTGAGTTTGCTGTGATCATTGAGGAGCTCACAATCGAGAGAGATTGCCTAAAGACAGAGTTTTTCGGGGTCGAGGCGAAGGTTAGGGAGAGGGAAGAGGAGTTGTTAAGGAGGATTAAAGATGGGTTTAGGGAGAAAGAATGTTTAGAGGTGGAAATTTATGAGGGTATGAGAGAAAGGGAGGAGTTAGTGAGGAAACTTGATTTTGGTTTGAGTGAAAAAGTGGGGTTATTGAAGGATTTTGAAGTTTTAAAGGGGAAGAATGAGGAGTTTGAGGTGAATTTTTCGAGGGGATTCGAGGTTTTAGGCTTGATCAAAGAGTGTTTGATCAAGGTAAATGATTGTTTTGATGGGAAAGGATTGGAGGAAAATGTGTCGATTTTCGAGAGAAGATTGATGATAGATTGTAAGAGATCAATGGATGGTTTGTTGGGGGAGTTGGATTTTGTTTCGAGGTTGGCGAAAAGGGTTGAGGATAGAATGGAAGATTATGGAGATATTAAGGATTTTTTGAATGAAGTTGAAGATTATAAGAAGAGGACTAAAGAGTTTGAGGAGAATTTGTTGAGAAACTTGGATGTTCTTGACTTTATTACAAAGTGTTTGATGAGAGTTGATGAGTGTCTAGATCATAAAGAAGTGGAAAGAATGTGGGTTGATCATAGTGAATGCCATGGTATTAAAGAGCAAGTGTTGAATGTTGAGGAGAAATTGGAAGTGTTGATGTACGCGAAATTGGAATTTGTATCAAGGATTGCTAAAAGGGTTGAAGAAAAAATGAATGCTCATCTAGAGAAGGTGAATAAAGAGAAGAGGGCATTAGAAAGGAGTGTGATGAGTCTAACTGAAGAGAATCGAGACGTTAATGCCTTGCTTCGTATTGCGTTGGTTGAGAAGGAAGCAGTAGAGAAGAGTCTTAGCAAGTTGAAGGGTAACAATGAACAAAGGAGAGTTCCCTTGTTGCAGTTTGCTGAGAGGGGGCTGCAAAGAGTTGGGTTTGGATTTATAATAGGAGGCGCTTCCAATGAGCAACATGAGGATCAAAAGAAAATAGCTGATCAAGCTTCAGATTGTATAATGTCTGATGTTAGCAGTGAATGTGAAGAGGAAGTTGTGAGTTTGGTACATACAGCTCTCCATTACAATAGTGTTCTGTTTGCTTTTAGTTGTTTTGATATACAGTACATTATTCAATATATTGATTGCTTAGATCTTTACAACTGAATGTTATGTTTAGCACTGTACTCTGAAGCAAGTACTTCATATAATATGTCTGCAATCCCTTGGTTAGGCCTCAACTGTGGAGAAACTCATGAAGGGCCTTCGACTCGAAATTACTCAATTATGGAGAGATTTGGAGGATTCCAGGTATTACTATCATGAATTTCTTGAGTTTTAATGATTTAGTTACCTTTGCCCTGGAAGTTCTTTGCATCTTTGTTGTCAATATTGTAGCACTATCCTAATTCCCTTTTTTTTGGTGTTCAAAACAGGTCTGACACTGAGCGGTTACAAAGTTTAACAGAGAAACAAGCTCAAAAAATCACTGAACAAATTGTTTACATCAAAGAGTTGGAAGAAAGAGAGAGAAATCTGACTAAAAATGTACTTCGTAAATTTCGTTTTCATGGATTATTTATGGACCAAAGATTTATTACTTTGGTTCCTGACTTTCAATTTTTCTATGATTTTAAGGTTGAGGAGCTCCTCGTTGAAATAAAAGCAACGGAAGAGGAGATTGAGAGGTGGAGAGAAGCCTGTGAATTGGAAGTAGAAGCTGGAAAACATGTTGCTCAGGAGCATAACAAAGTGGTAAAACCTGATAAGTTTTGGATTTTATTTGCATTTAAATTTATTGAATCTCAGCGCAGAAAACTAACAGCTTTCATACTAGGTTGCTATTTTGAAACAAGAGTTAGAGAAGACAAGAACTGCTTTGCAAGTGTCAAACAAGAAGTTAAAGTTAAAGGAAGAAGTAGCTGTTGCTGCAATGGTAGCACAGTCAGCTGCAGAGAAGTCTCTTCAATTGGCTGTCAATAGGGCAGCAATATTTCGAGAGAGGATTGAAGAACTGACAAGACAAGTGGAAGAAGATGAAAGCAGACATAAGAATAACAGACGCAGGTTGAGACGTATATGTTGGCCATGGCAAGCTCTTTACCCTGCAGCTACTAATACTAGGGTTCGGAATTTGGATATAAAACATATGCTTCCGGAAATGCAAGCCCTTCATCAAAGAATTTAAAATTACACATAAGGAGCTTCTTCCTCTTTACATGTTGTTGTCTTCTTTCTGACTTTGGTTGTTTATATTCATCTTCGAGTGATCCTTTGGTAAATATGCTCATTATTGAACTGGTGAACATTTATGCTGAATAAAATTGAAGTACATAGAAACTATTTTTGCACAATTGGTGTAAAATGTTGAATGTACTTGAGAATTTGTAGCTAACACATTAATATTGCATACTTTTATGTTTATTATACAAAGGTTGACTACCAACACTTGGATAACATAGTTTTAGAACACTGATACATAAATTTCTGCTGATAAATAGCAACATGGTGTTGCTGATACATTAAAAATTTTAAACTTAGCTCCTATAAAAGCTCTCCAACTGCATCCTTCATCATTATCTTGATCTAAAGAAACAAAATGAATTGTAGCTCAAGTTAGACACAACATAAACATTACACTCTTAACTGATTTTATTTCAATAATATGACGAAAGAAAAAAATAATAATGGGAATTTGGAACAAAAATTGTTGAATGTTTTACCTGCTTTTTTGAAAGGCCAATTTCTTTTAAATCATCAAGCTGCAAGTTCATTATTTCAAAAATCAAACCATTTGTAACATAAAATAGACTACTGAATCCCTAGTAAATCATCCCTAACAATTTTTCTTACCTGCTTGAAGGGTTCTGGTGATTCCTCTCGCATTTCAATAATGTTTGTAGCCCTTTTTTCTCCAATTCCCTGTTTAAATTGGAAAGAATAGAAAATCTAAGATTCCTCAGCATAAAGCAGAAGGATTTGGATTTATTGCTACACAAAATATAAAACTAACCTTTAGTCCTTTTAGCTCCTCCCTGTTTTTTTGAAAAAATAAAAAAAAAAAAGGGGCAAGAAGAAAAGAATATAACATAAGTAAGATGGATAGGAAGATAAAATCTTTTAACAAATTGAAGTTGTAAGGGTAAAAAAGACACTGCTACGATTGGCCTGACAGCAGTATCCCTTATCACTCCTTTTGAAATTTATTTTACGCGACAGGCATTTGATATTTACTACATAAAAATCCTTATAAGATAATTGGCTACATTGCTTTGGATCTTAAACAGGGTATCAAGAAATTGGTCTGAATTCAATATGCTCAGCATGGTGATCTGATGTCAAGGCTGTTAGTGCGGGCTAGTGAAGAGATTTCCCCAACATTGAGGGGGGGCAAACTACAATCTACCCTGAATTCAGATAGATGTTTGTCACTTTAGCTAACAATGTGTTGATTTATGAAAACAAATTTTCTGAAAATGGGGGAAATAAAACAAGAAAGCAAGAATCAATAATAGAGATGCTTCTTGTCAAGGAGATGTCTACTCAAAGGAGAAAAAAAATTACTTGATTTTATCCCCCCAAAACAAAGAATATCTTTGGTTATAAATTGAACACATTTCCAGAGTCTAGATATGATCTGTATATATTCAAAAATGATTGCATAATATAATTCACCTAGATTGAGTGTTCAAGTATTGATTAAAACCAGGTCAAGTAGCCATGCAACACAGGCCTTAACGAATACTGCATTATGACCAAATCAAAAAGGTTGAACTTACTTGCTTGCAGTGTTGAAAAACTTCAAATATTCTTGAACAAGAGAATCCTACAAAATTAAATAAGTAACATTAGTTCCCTTAAAAAAAAAAAGAAAAAAAAAAAAGTAACATTAGGGAGAGAAAGGAAGTACAGAACAACAAGATCAAGATCGACAACATTAGGCAGAGAAACACTAACCTTTGCTCTAGAACTGCGCATGTGGAAACTTTCCCAAGGGCTTTCTATAGTAGTAAGTTCATAATTTTCTTTAGCATTTTTGTCAGCAATTGGAGTTTTGAATTCTGACTTTTCAAGAATGGCATGCTTGTCATCGGCCTCCACTCTATGTAAATATTTTGGAGTCTCAGGCTCCAAGCTTTCCAAAGCCATCTTCAAGTTTGCATCTGTAGAAAAACAAAGCGAGTTTAAGTTGTTTCTGAGCTCTTGTATCCTTGCACTCAGTGGTGGTGATGGCCCGTCATTAGGTAAAGAGCTCTTGTTTTCCTTGTCTACATTCACAAATGAACGAGTTAAAAAAATTATTTTAAAAAAATTTAATAATAATAATAAATTCAAGGTGTTGTAAATTTCCATGAGATACACCTTCAAGAAAATATCCTGTTGGGGGTGTTTGATCTGTAAAAGGAGTCGTAGGGGCAATGTTCACAATTTGCAGCGCATCCTAAAATACAAGGAAACATTAAATGTTGTTACGATAAACATCCTTATGTAAAAGTAGCAAAAAGAATGTATTGCTTCCTAAATGACTAAGTTCATTCAGATGCTTCTACAGATTACAGCAATTATGCTAAAAATCATCACATCTTTGAAAATGGTAAAAGATCTCAAATCTTTAAGTTGAAGTTGCTGACACGTTTCTTGTAAGAATAGCTTTCTTCCTTGAAACTTACAAATTATATTGTGTAATTGGGTTGACAGGAGTGAAAGAATGAATGCACTACCTTTTCAGAAGGAAGCCGGGAAGAATCCATGTCAGAAGATGCTATCAATATACCTTTCCCCTGAAAGGCAAAGTACTCAATTTAGATAGAAAGAAGTCCACTGTTCTTTATTAAGAAGCTAACTGTGGGTCTTTGGTAGTTGCTCAAAGACTCATCTTTTAAACAAAGTTTAACCTTTAAGTGATTTCAACTAGAATATCTTACTAACATCATTTAATGATAAATGGCTCTTATTAAGATGCTCAAAAATAGTCTAATAGAAAAGGCTTGGTCAGAAGGACAGAATGAATCACCTCTTCAAAAGGAAGCTGAGAAGAATCCAAATCTATAGCACTCGATGCAAATTGCTCCTGAAAAGGGAAGTATTCAAATTTTAAACTAATTCCTATTTTCTGTCATGGAGAGCTGATGGTATGATTTAGACTGTCAACAAACATCTTCATAGACCTACCTCTTGCTGAGTAGAAGAATTGGATACTGCCACACTTGCTAGGGAGAGACTTGTCTGCATAAAAGAACCCGATTACTTGCACAATTTTAATAGACAAATATTTTCTTGCATAATGTCTAAGGATATGGATATCTACCTCTCTTTGTGATGAAGATTCCATGGCAGAAGCACTTTCAGGGCATATGTTTCCCTGCATTGGGAAATAACATTAATATTTCAAGAGATACAACGAAACATTGAGGAATAAGTGCTCAATGCTTCTAGTCACTCACTTAACAGCATCTATAGGAATAATGCACACAGCATTATGAGAGGTCTGTTTACTAACACGTTAATTTTATACTCAATCAACATTTAGTACTTAGTGAATAATATTTATAATTAAGTACTCCTTATGAGGAAGAAAATGGACTTTTTCGCTAATACTTGGAGATATACTGTAATCTGAAAATGTTCTTTTGAAAGATTCAGAAATGAAAATGACTGCAGACCAGATGGAAGAAAGCCGTACCAGTTTTGACTTCTTCAATTGAATAGTATCATCAAACAATTTCCTGAACATCCATAACAGTACATCCACATATTAGCATTCAAGCTTACCAATCATCAGTATCAGATAATATACACAATGTAATAATCTTAATCACAGACCTTCCTTTCACTTCAAATGATACATCTTTGTCCTTCTTCATAGACATGTGCAATTTTGACCCAGCTGTTTTTTTCCCCAAAACTGAAGCGCTCATGGGTTTCTTAACTTTAGGAGACACCATATTTGATCTCGTATTAAATTTGGAAGCTGATTTCATTACTTGTGGAGACGACATCCCGCTTGTCTTGGTAACAATTTTACTGCTCTTTCCAGGGTCTAAACAAGCCAAAAAGCCTGCCATGCATGATCGAGAGGCCAAGCTGATTGTTTGAACAGTTTCCAGGCAAAGAGAGGGATTCTGCAGAAAACATTATCACCATTCATCAGTTCACTGCAACGTTAAGGTTCAGTTTAGCACTGTAGCCAGCTCAGAGAAAGTGCAAGCCATGGATTTAAAGAAACTTACCATGCAAGAAATCATCAAAATCTTACTTGTGCCCCCAAGGGAATCCTGCAACATCCGAGTCAACTTACTTTCTCTGTAAGGTACACGGGCATCTTTTGCATTCAGGGCATATAGAACATTGTGCACAGTGTAGAGGGATTTGTTTATCCTTGTTGCTTCGGTCAAGTTAAAGCCATCAATACTCTTTCTTCTAGAATCTTCATAGCCTGATTGAATTAAAATGATCATACAACATTCAGTTAAATTAATTTAAACAAAAAAAAAAAAAAAAAAAAAAAAAAAAAAAAAAAAAAAAAAAACATAGACATCGAATATTATGAAAATGAACAAAACATTGAGTAGAAGAACATACTTGCCAAATCGACAAAACTGATCTTGCCCACCAGTTGAGCACATGATTTCTCAGTTTGAGGTGACACAACATGGACAATGCAGCCTATATGGTATCGATGAGGAGGCTCAGTCGTCTTCTGCAATTCTTTGCGAGCATTTGCTGCCTGCAAATACAACCTTTGAAATTCTGATGCAGAATTCACCTTAACCTGAAAAGGGATGAAGAAAACATACAACATTGTAACCAAGAGTGTAAAAAAAGTGGACATTTAACATTCAACACCAATAATGTAGCCTTCTCAAACTTTACCTTAGATAGTCCCTTGAGTCGGATCTTGCCATGTCCATCCTCAAATATTGCAATCTCCGGTCTTTTGGTGTCTAACATGTCCGAAACTCGGTCCTGGTACACCTCAAATACAGAAATGGTGACAATTTTTCCTTGCTCTTCTGCTAGAGGCAAAATTGCATCCACGGCAAGCACTGCCAATCCCATTTCTTCCTCATATCCCTACACACATAACAAGCAAAAAAAATCAAACACATCAGAATTTCGCTTTCAAAGATTTCCAAACTAACTGACAGCACTAATAAGTAATAACCCAAACCTGAATGGTGTAAGTCTTGCCACTTTCTCGTGGTCCATAAGCGAAAACCGTGCTATTCTGACCTCCAAACAATCCAGAGATTAAGGGTTTAATCTCTTTGATAAAAATCTCCTCATTGCCCACATCTTGCTCATAACAGTCATCTATTTCACAACTCTGCTTACCACTGTCCAATCCCCAAAAGTTAATCAATAACTAAACTACATTAACCAAGTCCTAAGCAACTACAATAATTATGCATATATATTCTGCATATTTACACAAAAATTGGGTAGACTAAATTCAGCAAAAAGATTAAACCCAATAACAGCCAACAACAAAACAAATCACTTAGCCATCCATTGAAACTAAATTCATAAGGAAAATAATCAAATAAATTCTACAGTACATCTAATGTTCCAATCTTTCAATATGATAGACAATAATTGGACTTGCCATCATCCTAAAAAAACCATTACTATATAAGTTACATTACATTAATTTTCCGGACATCATAAAATAGTACTCCGTATTTCTTTATTACTACACAGAAGTATATGAATCAGAAAATTCGAGCAACAAAAACACAAATTGAGCAGCAAACTAAAAAAATCATACTAACAAGCACCAATGATCACAACACTTCAGAAAACCACCAGCCAAGACAATTCAAATCAGAGAAAAATCAAGAATTAAACTGACAAGAAATTGAGAAATTGACCTAGAAATTTGATCTGACCCAAAAGATATTTTTACTCTACTTGGGTGTGAATTCGGGTTGGGCCTCAAAACCAAAATCCAAGGCTTGGAAACTGAAATCCTATCAACATTATCAGCATCTTTGTTCGATTGAGCCCTAATTCGAGCAATTATTCTGACTTTACTAACTGGGTTTGAACCCATTTTTTTTTTTTTTTGCTGAATGAAATTGACAGAAAATTGGTTCAGAATAGTGAGAGAAATACAAATTGTTGAGTGGATTTGAAGGGGTTAAGAAAAGGGGAGAAAAAGGCGAATATTTTAAACAGAATTGATAAGAGTGAAGAAGTAGCCGTTGTAATTGAAAATTGATGAATTTTGGCGTAGCGCTCCTCTGATGTTATTTGAATCGTACACTGCAAGCTTTTGAAGACCCTAAGCGACTTACTAGGACGATGTTGTGTTTGAGCAATGAGTCATTCGGTTTGGCAAACCTTTAAGCCATATTTGGCATTTGGTCGGGTTCAGAGCCAGAACTGACCCATAGACCCACACATATTTAAAATAGTAAAAGACTTTTTTTTTCCGGAAAAAATAGTGGTAAAAACTTAAAATAAGTTGTAAGTAATCTAAAGAACTTAAATAATCCGATTAAAAAAAAAACAATACCTACTAAGTCTTCAAATAGTAGTCTTGTTTTTAGTGTATCTTTTTATATATGTACCTACCAAGATTTTTAAATGAATTTTTTTAAAATTCAAGTAGTAGGATAATTATAATAGATAAATTATATAAGTGATTTTAAAAAAAAAAATCATAGTTAGACTCATTTATGACCCATTTTAAACTCGAAACCCGCTAGACCTAGTGGATCCGGGTCTAATTTATTTAGACCCAATAGATCTTAGTCAAATCTGAATCCACCTCCAAAAATTCGAGTTTGGGTCTGAATCTCATCGCCAGATTCAGCTCAGATCCGATCCATTGTCATCTCTACGACTAACTCTAAGGAGTTTTTAACGAAAGAAGCTTAAATTCATACTCCATACTTCTTTACTTTCTTTTGGGGCATTTGATATGAAATCTTTTTCTTTAACATTTCAAAAGCTTACTTGAATGGTTTACTACAACACTTTCTCTAGACACATTTCAGAGTGAACAATGAAAATTTGTGTTCTCTAATCTCTACATTCGTTTATCTTTCTTGCGTCTGTTACAATAATTTCAATCAAAGACGTGATAATTGATTTCACTTTAAGAGTTTTGAGCAATCGAATCAGTAGGTGTCCTCTCAAACAATAGTCTCTTAAGAGAGAATAATATCCCCTTGCGAACATCAATAACTCTCTCAAGTGCATCCAAGGGCTAAGGGCTAAGTGCAAAGTGAATGTTGATTAGGGGATTTTTATCCACCAATCACCGTTTGACAAGTGGACCAACCAGGTTCCGCCACGTGTCCTTCACGTAGGCCAATAGGAGCCTGCCACGTGTCAATCACAGATACGTCCTCTACGGACCAATTGAGACACGCCACGTGTCCACCCATGCCAAATGGGAAAACCGGCCAACAAGGCCCAATCCTGTCTAGAGGCCCGGTCAGCCCTAGGTTTACCCTAAACCTAGAGAGTGGCACGCTTCTCAAGACTATAAATACTTAATTAATCCTCATTAATCAAGCAATCGAGCAAACATCAAGCAATTAATCTCACCTGAAGAACAGAGAAGAACAGAAACATTACGGAACACTAATAACCGGCTAATCTCGCTAACAAAGCAGATTACCTACATTAAACACTCTCACCTAGAGAGATCTGATTACTTTAATTTCCGTATTAATTACTCCTTAATCAGGTACTAACTTGACCGTTGGAGGAGGAGCTCTCAGGAGTCTCCGTTATTTTGCAGGTACAGGCGTCCGGTTCCAGTCTCGGAATTGTAACTCTCCCGCAGGACATCAGAAAACCCCGAAACAAATGTTATCTTTGTTTATTTTTAGATATTCCTCTAGAAGGCAAATAAATAGCCCTAAATGAGCAAGAAAACAATCTTAAACGCAGTTAAGGCAAACAAATTAGTTTTTAAGTGTACCTTAGGAGTTAGGAGTGATAACAGGTGCAAAGTGAATGCTCTATTCAAAAGGTAACACTCACATAATTCATTGGCCTCTTCAGTCCAATCTAACAGTAAAGAAATTTGACGAAATAGTTTGAAGAAACAAAATAGGAAGTTACTGCGTTTCATAACTCAAACTACAAAAAAGCGTACAAAAGTTACAACTAATTAGTCTAATTTGGTTTAATTAATTGAAACCAAATCTTCTTCCCCGAAATGAAAATATTAATGATAGACCAAACAACTTAATTTAGAAACCTTGGGACAAAATTACTCAGATAGCTTAAGTATCACGAATCAACGAACCCCACGATTAAGGCTGACCATACGGGCTGAAGAATCAGTGTGTTGTCCTCGCGATGCACGCCCATAAGAGCCTGCCCCTCTAGCATGACCACCATGGTCTCTTGAATATCCTCCAGCAGAAAACTGTCCAGGATTCATCACCTTTCCGCCATATCCTGAACGCCCACCTGACCTTCCTTGGGAATAAGAGTTGTCATGCCACCTACCACCGCCAGAAGAGGCAACCGCAGCATAATCTGGTCCATCTCTCCTCCTAGGAGGCAAACCATCTAATGAACCACCACCCAACTTGGCCTCCATAGCGCGCTCATTATTTTCTGCGAAGAAAGACAGCTTCTCGGTCAATTGGAAAGCAAGAGCCTGCAATCTAGTGTGCTCAACCTCATGGAAGATGATGCACCGAGTAGGCTGGTCCCATGAAGCACGCAGCTCCTCATTAACCATCATCTTACTCACGATGCTGTGTATCTGTGGCTCAGAGAGCTCAAACATCTTACACAGCTGTTCAAGGCTCAGAGAACTGTAAGAAACAGCATAAGTAAAAAGGTATGTCCTAAGGGCAGCTTCTTTGATCTTGGATTTCAGCATTTCAAAGACACCCTCTTTGTTTTTCAGTAGCTTCCACACATCCAGAGATGTGATGACATCAAAGGCCTTTTGAAAGTCTCCTTGAGTGAGTCCTCTAGTAGCAGCCATAGCATGATCCCTGACATTTTCAGGGGGGCCTCGAAGTGTTTGCCTTTCACTAGCTTCAAGCAATCTCCTGAATGTCTTGCTTATGACCCGGCGCTGTGATTCAAAGGTGTTGGCAGCCATATAAGGGACCTCCAACAGCATGGCACAAGTCAGATGAACTGCCTCCAAGAGTTCCAAATTGATGTGCATGTGGTAAGGCATCTGTTGTCTTCTTTCTTTCATCTCCTGTTAAAAGTAAAATATTACCAGAGTGAGGTTCATGTGCAGGTGAAAATAAGCATTTAAATTGACTAAATGACGTTACATTATGAAATCATATTGTTTACTTGAAGACAAGAAGAGGATTAACAGTTTCTGACTCTCTATTTCATCCAAAATTTGTTTCTAATAGCAAAGATAAGTCTCTCAAACTCATTCCACACCACAGCCCACTGCAAAGTAATTCCAGTTTTTACATCTTCAACTTGACATTTCAACACACGACATTAGCAGATATCCACAAACTTCTTACAATTTACTCTCATGCAAAGCGGTTTATACAAAAATCATAGTATTAGCCAGGAGTAAGCAGGTCCAACAAACACAATGTTTGAAAAAAGGTGGGTTACAACAACAGCAAAACAACACACAAATATATTGAAGAGTCCAATGAACCTAGTAGATCAATTGGATTTAACAGAACAAATTCCATGAATAGGGTAGTCCACAATCCCTTCTTCAATCACATAGGACAACAACCAGCATTTCTTTGCAACTTAACAGTTATCACAGGGCACTAAGGATGTTTACGAAAATATCTGCTTTCAACTCAGCAATATTGAATTACCAATTAGATAAGAGATAAATTAAGGCATCAAACTGAATAAGAAAATTTTCCTACAACAGAAAGGAAGCTGCTGCAAAAATCAGAATCCAATCACCATACCCTTCAAATTTTAGTAAAAATAGCGACAAAAAGATGAGTAAAAAATCTGAGAACAGTCGCACAAATGTACAAACATACCTGTTCAGGAGTCTTCTCATGGTAACGACTTTGAGAGAAACCTTGTGCAAGCAGCTCTCTCACTCTTCCAGCTGAATATAATTCAGAAAGGCAACTGTGCCCTTCTGAAATCAGACCAATTCTGAAAGCACATAAACCGAGCTGAGCCATAGCTCTATTGAACAATATCTGGGTTGAAATATCCATATGTTGTATTGTGTCTTGTAAATGACTCATCAACAATAAGTCACGAGCAATTGAAAATTCATCCGTAAGGGCGTGGTGATAAATATCACATAGCATAGCACGAGCCTTTGTTCTCTCATCTCCAAATTGATAAATGAGAGAAACTAAGCTATCCATCAAGACCCTGCTGCGCTCTGGAAAAGTAGATTTCCGAGGCACAAGCTCAGGTGTTGTCACAAACAAAGAGGGATTCTTACCTACACCAGCCCCCTTGGGTTCCTCTGCAGCTTCATCATTCTCCTCTTCTGTTTGTTCAGCCAATTTCCTCATTGCCTCATAAACTTCTTGAGGCTTATAGTACACAAATTCAACACGTCTCAGGGCTACTTTCGCAGCTGCCTTCAGATTTCCACTTTTCTCCAAGTATTCTTGAACATTTTGTGCCAGGACCAAAAACAAGGGCTCGTCCCTGAGTCTTTCAACAAATTCACGTGTATAAGGATCTATACACTGCAAGCTCTTGAAAAACTCAACATCTATCCTCTCAAGGAAGGCTACCAAGTTTCCCCATACTCGGATGGTACCGTTATGTTCTGGACCCTTTTGGGTTTCATTTTCATCAGGCTCCACAGAATCATCCACCAAAATGTTTGGATACTGAGTGAGAATATCAAGTATAACAAACATATTCTGCACGCATTTCTTCCACACATTAATAGGCATGTGTCCACTGAGACTAGGATTGATATCAAATTGGGCAGAAACAACACTGAAAAGGATCTCCAGCTTCTGAGCTGGTGTCTTCGCAATCCTGGTCAAAAAGGTAAGCCGCTCAACAAGCTCAATTTTCCCAGTTCCCTTCCTTCCACGTCCAGCAACAATTTCTTTGACTTTCTTGTTCACAGTATCCCAAGTGATCTCACTAGGGTTTTTCAGTAACTTCATATCGATAAGCTTATTATTCTTCCCCGTCTTCTGCCACTCATCATCCTCATCCTCAGCATCATCCTCCCTTGTTTCATCCTCTTTGTCGGACTCTTCAGCTTCTGACTCGGATTCTTCAACTTCTGATTCAGTTTCCTCTTCAGATTCCTCTTTCTCCCCATCATCTTCAGACTCAGGATTCTCCCTAAACTTGTTGATCAGATCTTCATATTGCTTATTGTTCTTCTTTAGATTCTGCCTCATTTTATTCAATGCCTTGGCATTGCTGCTGCTCATCTTCTTCTTAGCCTCCTTA